GGCCCCTCGCCGCTCCGCGCGCTTGGCGGTCCCTCTTGGCTTTCCGCCTCGACCGTCTTCACCGCCTCTGCGGCCCGTCTCTGTGGACTCTGGTGCTGTTGGAGGTGGTGACACTGGGGGTGCGGAATCTGGGGGTGCTGGCTCTGGGGGTGCTGCGAGTCCTACGAGTGCAGTGGGTGCTGGAGGTGCTGCTGCTGGAGGTTCTGCGGGTGGAGGTGCTGGTGCTGGTGGTGCTGGTGCTGGTGGTGCTGGTGCACGTCGGTAGGAGACTCTCTCGCCGAAGCGGCTTCGCGAGTGGGCTGTCCGTTGGGGCAGTCCTGGTGGAGGCGCTGGACGTGCTGGAGCTGCAGGTTCTGGAGGTGCTGGCCCTGGAGGTGCTAGTGCTGGTGTTCCTGGAGTTGGCCGTGCTGGAGGTACTGGTGCTGGAGGCACAGGTGCTACTGGAGGTACTGGAGTTGCTGCTGCTGTGGGTGCTGCCGCGGGTAGTCCTGGCTCACGTCGCCAGGAGCCTCTCTCGCCGGAGCCGCTTCGCGAGTGGGCTGTCTGTTGGGGCAGTCCTGGTGGTGGCGCTGGACGTGCTGGAGCTTCAGCTTCTGGAGGTGCTAGCCCTGGAGGTGCTAGTGCTGGTGTTCCTGGAGTTGGCCGTACTGGAGGTACTGGTGCTGGAGGCACAGGTGCTACTGGAGGTACTGGTTGCTGCTGCGGGTAGTCCTGGCTCACGTCGCCAGGAGCCTCTCTCGCCGGAGCGGCTTCGCGAGTGGGCTGTCCGTTGGGGCAGTCCTGGTGGTGGCGCTGGACGTGCTGGAACTTCAGGTTCTGGAGGTGCTAGCCCTGGAGGTGCTAGTGCTGGTGTTCCTGGAGTTGGTCGTGCTGGAGGTACTGGTGCTGGAGGCACAGGTGCTACTGGAGGTACTGGAGGTGCTGGCCCTGTAGGTGCTAGTGCTGTTGTTCATGGAGTTGGGGGTACTAACGGTGCTGACACTGGAGGTGCTACTGGAGGTACTGGAGTTGGTGGTGCTAGTCGGCAGGGGTCGCTCTCTCCGCAGCAGCTTCGCGAGTGGGCTGTCCGTTGGGGCAGTCCCGATGGTACAGCTGTGGTGCTGGTTCTGGGGTGCTGTTCCTACTGGGGCTCGAGGTTCTGGGGGTGTGACTACTCAGCCGCAGCCGTCTGCACTTCGTCACCTTCTCAGTCTCCCGCCTGCTGCTACTGAGGTCCCGGTTGCTGGTACTACTCCTCCGTTGCTGTTCCCACAGATTGACCAGTCTCAGCCACAGCTAGTGCCTAGCTCCCCACTGCCTGCTCCTGCTCCTCACACGGAGGTGACTGAGTCCCTGACTGAGCGTTGTGAGCCTGAGACTCGTGCTTCCACACCTGTTCGCGGTCGTCGTGTTGTCCGTCCTCGTGCTCCAGCTTTGTCCTTCCTCTGTTCCACAGCGTGTTCGCCTGCCGTCTCCTCCTGCGTCTTCTCTTCCTCACGTTCCTGACCCTGAGTCAGACCTTGTTCGTACTGCCAGTCCGACTGTCACTAGTCTCCTTGCCACGGTTGTGACTGACCCTTCCTTTGAGTCTGCTGCTGCGTCTGCCTGAGTTGCTGAGCTTGTTGACTTTGCTGCTTTGTGCCGCCTTGACTACGCTGCGAGTCTTGTTTTGACTCTTCCTGTCCTCCGTCCGTCGGGGGTGAGCTTGCCCTTGGTTGTGACGTTCTTGAGGACAGACAGTTTGAGCTGGAGTGCCTAGCGGCCGCTGCACCTCATCTCGCGTCCACGCTACTTTGCCCTGAGGGAGACCCGGGTGCACTGGACATCCCGACCCCGCGCACTTACGTAGAGGCGATCACGGGTCCGTACTCCTCTCAGTGGCAGATAGCCATGGATGCAGAGATGGCTTCCTGGAAGTCCACAGGCACCTACGTCGACGAGGTTCCCCCACCTGGGGCGAACATAGTTGATGGCATGTGGATTTTCAGGGTGAAGAGGCCGCCGGGTTCTCCGCCTGCCTTCAAGGCGCGTTACGTTGCACGAGGCTTCAGTCAGCGTGAGGGGGTCGACTTCTTCTAGACCTTCTCCCCCACCCCGAAGATGACCACTCTTCGGGTGCTACGTTGCAGCACAGCGCGACTACGAGCTGCACTCCCTCGACTTCTCGACAGCCTTCCTTCAGGGCAGCCTTCACGAGGCTATCGGGTTGCGCCGCCCACGTGGCTTCACTGGGTCGTTTCCTGAGGGTACCCAGTGGAGTCTTCGGCGACCAGTCTACGGCCTACGACAAGCGCCCCGTGAGTGGCACGACATACTGAGGACTACTTGCGGCTCTTGGCTTCGTTCCTTCGACTGTTGACCCTTCGATGTTTCTGCGCACAGACACTTCTCTGCCGTCGTTCTACGTTCTCGTGTACGTTGACGACTTGGTTTTTGCTACTGCTGACACTGAGGCTCTGGCCTTGGTGAAGGCGGAGCTGCAGGAGAGACACACCTGCACTGACCTGGGTGAGCTGCGGAGCTATCTTGGCTTGCAGGTCACCTGGGACAGAGCACGCCGCACCATCACCCTCACTCAGTCACACATGGTGCAGCAGGTCCTTCAGCGTTTCGACTTCTCGTGGTCCTCGCCACAACCCACTCCTCTGTCTGCCGGCCACTCGCTCTCAGCTCCACCTTCGGACGAGTCCGTAGAGTCGAATGGTCCGTACCCAGAGCTTGTGGGTTGCCTCATGTACCTGATGACGTGCACACGACCTGACCTCGCGTACCCTCTCAGCCTCCTGGCTCGCTACATGGCTCCCGGTAGACACCGAAAGGTGCACTGGGAAGCTGCGAAGAGGGTATTGCGTTACTTGTGCAGTAAATCGGGCATGGGGCTTGTGCTTGGAGGACGGGGTTCAGTTGTTCTCACCGATCACTCAGGCGCTTCTTGGGTTGACAACCAGCCAGTCGACACAGGGGTACAGTTTCAGCCTTGGCACTGGTTCTGTCTCGTGGAGATCCACTCGCTCTTCTTCTGTACTTAGTTCCAGCTGTGAGGCCGAGATCTACGCTGGGGCTATGGCTGCACAGGAGCTCCGCTGGCTGGCCTACCTGCTGACCGACTTGGGTGAGCGGCCTCGTTCTTCTCCAGTTCTGTACGTCGACAACAAGGCCATGATTGCCTTGCGTCAAGACCAGAGACTGGAGCACAGAACGAAGCACATTCCTCTCCGTTACTTCCTCACGCGAGAGCTGCAGCAGCGTGGTGAGCTTCGTCTTGCTTACGTAGCCACACAGGCCAACACTGCTGATGTCTTCACCAAGGCCCTTGGGTCTAGTGATCATCAGCGTTTCTACACTGCTCTTCGGCTTGTGCCCACTCTGCCACACCTGCTTATCTCTTGATCTTGCCTTGCACTTGTTGTACTCTGATATATGTGATTATACCTGCATGTTTGCTCTTGCTAGGTTGTGATCAGTGTACTGCAATTGCTTTTATAAAATCTTCATGTGAGCTGGCCTTGTGGCCACTTGCTTGTGCTCAGAATGTGTGTTGATCTTGAGATCGAGCCTGAGCTTTGCTTAGATTTGTTCTCTTGCTTGACTGGTCTTGTGACCGTCCGTTGTGTTTGCTATCCCCCACTTTGCCTATGGGGGTGTGTCAAACTATGTTTGTATTCTCTAGGCTGTAGTGGGGCATACTCTAGTGAGTACAACCCCTTAGGGTTTCCTACTTGTACCCACAACCCTACTCAATGCAACATTCCTGTTTCCGTATTCTAACACGCCCCCCCCCCCCCCGTCTTGGTCCAACTAGCTGCGGTACACATTAGAGCTGCGGAAAGCAAAGGTTGGAATACCGTAATCAGGTTTCTGTCAAGACACAAGCGCGGACAATATTGGGGTTGGCGGGGGGTGGGGCTGGGAGGGACCCCCTGCAATTACACAAGGGGTTTGTATTACTGCAACAATGAATCCACACCACACACACCCCCCACCCCATGGCTCCCTTGTGCACAGTGGTTACCTATCCTTCACCTTTTGATATTTACACTGTTTCGCATGCCGTATGGTGAGTCACAACGCAAACCATAAGTGTTAATCTACTCTTCTAGATTCAGATTATCCCTCCACTTCGCAAGCAATTGCTCCATAGTGGGTCGATCAGCCCAGTCACTCTGAATCGCATCTCGCATCATGCCCACCAGAACCTCCGCTTGCTCCCGCGTCCATTGCCCCTCCAGGTTTCTGTCAAACACCTCGGCATAATCCGCGCATGCGAGATCCCGCGAAAGTAATTCTACTCCTGGAAAAAAACCGTCCAGCACACCGCGCCCTGAGACGAGCTCTAGCAGGAAAACGCCAAAGGCATACGTGTCGCAATGCGTTGTTAAGAAGCCTGAAGTGGAGAAAGGGTGGAAAGATAAACCGGGATACACGGATGGGAGTCTTGAGAGGTCTCATAACTTGGGCACTGGATGGATCGGCGTGAGACGTGACGCGAGGAAGCGCGTCATTACAAGGTGCTTCATTACAAGCTGTTACATTGTGAGGCAGATCTAAACGAACGGGAGGAACGAGGATGAGGACTGCAAGAGTCATGTGCAGAATTTCATTTCTATACATGCAATAGGGACTGCCAGGACAGCAAGGTCACCATGAAGCTTCTGGGTTCAGCTGATGCAAGGAAGTATGTGTGAGGGCACTCGGGTTGCAAGGGGTTGAGTGTGAGAGGGCAGGGATTACACGGGGCTGGGTGCGTGTGAGGGTGTACAAATCGCCAGGGGTGAGTGAGGGGGCACATGAATTGCAAATGACACAATGACAGCAGAGGGAGATGGTGGGAACGACTCTTGAATGACAGCACCTCGTAAATTTCACACTAATTAAGACGTGCCAAGAGCCAGCTCACTGCTCCCCATATGAGAAACTTTTGAGAAAGACAATGTCTGGAGCAGCTGGCCTTGCTGATTATAGATTGAGAGTATGCTGCACATACCTGAACCATGATCACAGGAGGCATACCTGAGCCATGATCACAGGAGGCATAACTGAGCCATGATCACAGGAGGCATACCTGAGCCATGATCACAGGAGGAGGCAGACCACACAGCCATCGCAAGGAGACTGAATCTATGCAACAAGAGGGCCAGCCAACACGCCGACTCACCTCTTCTGAGAACGCTGGGTCCATGTTGCCTTGAGCCATGGCAGCAGGCAGAACAATTTCTGGGTCAACGGCTCACCTCTCTCAAAGTACGATGGGTCCATATAGCCCCACGACCCAGCCACTCGCGTCGTGACATGTGTCTTGTCCTGGCATGCCTTGGCCAATCCGAAATCCGCCACCTTGGGAATGAGCGTCTGGAGACATGCGGATTGAGTTCAAGGACACGAAACAGCAAGTGGGAGATGTGTTTTTGTTCTGACACGCCTCCTGAGGCGCCTCAAAACACGCCTTGGGCTAATCTGATCTGACCGTAGATCTGATCTGATATGCATTGGGATCCCAAGTCCGCTACTGTGGGAATGAGCGTGAGGAGAAACACGTACTTGCAATGCAAGCGGAAACAGAGAATGGTTGAAACTAGTCAAGGCCAGCAACTTATGTTGTGCTTTGCCTTGGCTGGTCATGGTTGGTCCAAAACTCGCCATGTGAGGAACAACGAGACGGTCTTGAAACATGTAAATTCCATCCAGCAGGGGGGGCTTCGTGGGTAGTGAGACGGATTTTGAGGCTTGAGAATTTGTGAAAAGGCGAGCACGCATCCCAATTCTCAACATCTGTAATTCAAGCATCCCGAGGTGAAACCATGATGATGTGTTTTGAACCGTTTTGTGAGTGTGCTCTTGGGTAGACTAATGCGCACAAGTGTGACCAGGCTTGTACTGATTTGACCGAAAACATGTTTCGAAACGTTTGGTAGGTGTGCTCTCTAAAGCGTGCGACAAACTTTGGTGAGAGAGAAGCACATCATAGGAGCTCACCTTCGTTAGAAGCACATTATAGGAGCTCACCTTCCTTAGAAGCATATCATAGGAGGAGCCCACCTTTGTTACAAGAACATTGGCGGCCTTGAAATCGCGGTGAATGAATCCCTCTCTGTGAATGGCTGCCAGCCCCTCAAGACTCCCCCTGGCTACACGCAGCCGCTCCTTCCAAGGGAAGGGCTCTGTGCCTTTGGCTGCTGCTTGCACACACAGGGGAAGGCAGGGGAGCAGGAGGGGAAAAAGGGGGTGGGGGGGGGTTGAGTCGACTCAGAGACTGAACCCCTCCCTGTGAATGGCTGCCAGCCCCTCAAGACTCCCCCTGGCTACGCGCAGCCGGTCCTTCCAGGGGAAGGGCTCTGTGCCTTTGGCTGCTGCTTGCACACATGGGGGAAGAGGAAGTGGGAGGGAGCATGGGGGGTAAGGGTGAGAGTGGGAGAGCAGGGGGGTAGGAGTGAGGCTGGGAGGGAGCAGGGGGATAGGGGTGAGAGAGGGACATGTGTGAGCGAGCGCACACGCAAGGACTTACGAGCAAGATTCACGCGAGTTTCTCTGCCGCACTGACTGCTGCTAATAAAGGTCTGTTGGAAGGGAGAGGTAGGCTGTTTACTCATGCCACTGTGGCCACACTCTCTAGTGCTTGTGAGCAGATGGGGCGGGAGGGGAGGGGAGTGGGGAGGAAGGGAGCCAGAGGAAGAAGGGGATATGCCTATGCTAGTCCCGACCTGCTAGGCTCGATCCCACCTGCTAGGCTCGATCCCACCTGCTAGGCTCGATCCCACCTTCTAGGCTCGATCCCACCTTCTAGGCTCGATCCCACCTTCTAGGCTCGATCCCACCTTCTAGGCTCGATCCCTGCTAGGATTGTTCCATTTGTTATCACAGAAGACGTTGCGTCCTTCCACACCCGCAGGCCCGTCATAGTGTAGGAAACAATGCACCATCACATCGCATGGTACCGCATTACACCGCACAACACCTGACGACACCACACTACTTCTCTTGATGCGCTGGGAAACATCCCCGCCTGGGACGAACTCACAGACCATGGCAAGGGTTCGCCTCAATATGTGTGCGTGCACATGCCCACCGCATTCCACCCTCCCATACCTCTTTTGTTCGTTGGGAAACATCTCCTGCCTGGGACAAACTCAAAACGACCATTGCAAGTTTCGCCCCCATCATGTGTGCAAATGCCCACCCCATTCCCACCGCATTTTACACCCCCCCCCTCCCCCCCCCCCCCTCTACCTTTCTGTTATCGTTGGGATCTCCGCTTGGGACGAACTCAGAGACCATGGCAAGTTTTCGCCATCACGTGTGGAGAAGCCCACCCCATTCCCACCGCATTTCACCCCCCCGTACCTTTCTGTAATCGCTGGGAAACATCCCCCCCTGGGACGAACTCAGAGACCATGGCAAGTTTCCGGCCCATCAAAGCCATTCCCAGCAGCCGCAGAATGTTGGGATGGTGCAGAGCCGTCATCGTCATGATCTCCGTCTGATGGGGGGGATAGAAGTGTGAGAGGGAGGATAGGAGGTTGAGAGGGAGAGGAGAGGGGAGAGGGGGGTTGAACAAACCATTAGATGTAACTTGTGCAGAGCTGAACTCACGGTCAACTTGGTCTGAGGGGAGCGAGGGAGGAAAGGGTGAGGGAGATTGAGTGGAAATGTTGAAGTGAATTGGTGCTAATCCGTGATGATATTTTCCAAATAAGTGTTCATTTGTGACTCATCAGGTAAGTGTTCATTTCACGACTCACCAGATAAGTGTTCATTTGTGAGTGTCCGTTTCGACTCCCTTGCTACAGTATCTTCCACTCACCAGCAGCTGTTCTCGTGCCCCGCTCTCCACATCGTCAGTCAAGCAAATCTTCACCGCCACCGGAACAAACTCCCTCCCACCCACTTCCACCACTTCCAAACCATCCATCCCAGGCCCCATCCCCCCTTCCACCTCCTCCTCATCCCGTTCGTCCCCCCTTCCCCCGTTCCCTTCCCTATGATCCACGTCCCCTCCCCCGCTCCCTTCCCCATCTTCTCCCCCATCTCCTACCCCGTCTTCTCCCCCGTCCCCATCGCCCCCCCGTGGCAGCAGCAGCATGCCCTTGTAGACGGCGCCGAAGCCGCCTTCCCCCAGCTTGGTGCGCCAGTCGCCCGTCGCCCGCCGCAGCTCCTCCTGCGAGTACCGCGGCAGCGCGCCGTCCCCCCCCACCGCCCTCATTACCACCGGCTCCAATTCATGGCCTGCAGGGGGGGGTGGAGGGGAAAGGGGAAGGCGAGTGAGAGTGGGGAGTGCGGACAAATGGTCCTGCAAGTACCGCGGCAGCGCGCCCTCCGCCTCCACCGCCCTCATTACCACGAGCTTTTACTCATGGTCTGCTCAGGGGGAGGGGGGGAAGGGGGGAAGGAGGGGATGGGGGTGGGGAGGGGAATGGATGGGATGAAGGGAAACAGGAAGGGAGGAGGGAGGGGGATTGTGGAGGGGACTCGGGTGTGTTGTGTGGAGGATCGTCTTCCCCCAGCTTGGTGCGCCAGTCGCCCGTCGCCCGCCTTAGCTCCTCGCGCGAGTACTGTTCCCCCCCACCGCGCGCATCGCCACCGGCTTCAGGTCATGGCCTTCTGAGGGGGGGAAGAGGGGACAAGGGAGTGGGGAGTTAGGTCAAATGGCAAATGGCGTCTATTCTTGATCTTAAATGGCCCTTTCGCGAGTACCAAGCGTGGCGTCCACCCCTCTCTGCCCGCATCACGGGGGGGGGGAGAAGGGGGAGGGGGGAGGGGAGGGGGGGCGCTGCCTGCCAGGAAGGAGAGGCGGAAAGGGGAGTAGGTTGGAGAGGAAGTAAGCGGGGAGAAAGGGGGAAGATAGGGTTGATCCGGGAAAAAGTGGAGCGTGGGAAGGAAAAACGGAAAATTCATTATCGATCGCGAGTACCGCGGAAGCATGATGCAGTCCGCAGCCCACCGTCTTCATCACCACGGGGATGGCTGCGATTGCTAAACGAGGAACACGAATGAAACTTCTTTCGCCTGAAAGAACGATGTGAAACGAAAGCAGCAGAAAGCCGACCGAATGCGAAGAAGAAGTAGACATCGCAAAAAAGGTTCGACCCGGCGAGACCAACCCGGACAGGTTCCCCAGGAAAACATTCCGGTCGGATTTCATGGGTCGGATTCTGGCCTTCGATTGGGTGTCATTCGGGAGACCTAAATCGATCCCGCGACCAATCCCTGCCAGGGATTTACGGTCAATGATGGAGAGTCACTCGTGTCTTTAAGGGGTCGCCCGGAAGTAGTCATGATAGGACTCCTAGAAGCTGGGCGCAGCTCAGAAGGAGTGAGCTTTCAAGCACACTCATTAGTAGAGTGACCGCTTTCATCGAACACCTCGTGGTAGAGTACGTTTTCTAACACAAGCTTCTCGTAACTCACGTTCGAGCCAGAAAAGCAGCAAAAGAAACCCATCTTCGATGTTCCTGCGGTGGTTTTCCCAAGCAGAGAGCAGTCACGAGCACAGCCCTCTGATTGTTTCTGAACAGTTTAACTACGAAAATGCTGTCGCAAGTCGAGCCTAAAACATAACCTTGAGACTAGTCCAGGAGTCCGAGAAGTCTGATAGAAAACGAGGGAAAACGTCGGATGTGGAACACATGCATGCAGATGTACTGGGCGTGGTTGCTGGGGGAAATGCACGCTTGAAGGCATGGTGTGCACGCCCCACCAATATCAGGCTACAGCCGACAATGCACTGACTGTCACGGCCCATCGGGCTACTATGGTATGACTACACGTACAGGAAACGCAATACGCAGCTCATGCCATCCAGTGCAGTTGGTTGGTTTCGCCGAGGTGAATGAGATTATGAGATGAGACCCCGGGATGACATGAACGACGAATATTTCTGTTGGTCTTGGAATACTCGTGCTGGCGTTGTGTTGAATTCTCGGACCATGCTGATTAGGTTCGATCCTAAGCTGTTTCCGAGCCGAATCTGTTGAGTTTGGAGGCTGTGCACAATACACTGTACCGGAACCTTTGAATCGTGCCACGACAACAACGCGCAATTGGTTCCTTTATTCCATATGTTTGAGTTCGTCAAGAAACAGCGAACGTCGCAAGGGCTAAAAGAAATGGCTCCGTTTTTGCGAAACAAAGTGGCAGCGTTACCCTGCTGATGCTGTTATGCTCGAAGCTGCTATTGTTTTGAATGCGCGATAACAGGTGAAATCTTGTTTCGTGAGTAGAAAACCTAGCTGGGCGATTTCTTCACGCTGAACTCAAATGACACGACCACTTCAAAATTACTCTGAACTGAACCTATACAACATGAACCACTTCGCGGTTTCACTCATTCTGAGAATCTCGAAACCCTGTTTGTCGCAAACTGGAGATTATGGAGAGAAGACCATCCTCTCAAAGCACATTAGGAATGACCTCAGAAGGCTCTGTGGCGGAAAGAGTGGGCTCCATTCCTCGTTCTAGCCAGTCGATGATCAGAAATGATCTGAAAGGTTCATGTTACTGCCATTTGCCAACCCTAGTCGCATCCACTTTCATGCTTTCCCTTCTGGTTTTTGTTGTCGACAAGTCGAACGTAGGAGTTCCAACAGGGAAAGGCTTGATTATGGATCCCCGCAGCGTCAGCTACTCTCATCGGCGCTCTCTAACCCAAACTGGTCACGCTGAACTGATGAATCGTCGTAAAAGCTTAAATTATTCAGAAATACCTTTGCCGAAGGACTTTATAAAGAGTTCGGAGGAATTACACAACAAGATGTTGACATCAGTTTCCAACATATTCGTGTTTGACGACGGCACCGTTATACCAGCGCAAGAACGGCAACACTGCGAATCCCTCGTCCTGGCAGCTATGGAATGCAAAGAGTCAGGTACGCCAGACCCTCCGGTACGCTAGCAACTTTGACTCTGGTCCACTGTTCTATAAACCCAAATCATTCGATGCAGGGGTTATTGTTGAGCTTGGAGCTTGGGCTGGCCAATATTCTAGGTGCCTTGCTGCTGGACTCTACATGGCTGGCAGACATAACGAGGGAAGGCTCTTCTCATTTGATACATTCAAGGACTCTTCACTCCGGGAGAAAATGGATTTGGAGAGCCAGCTTTTAAGAGCTCTCTCTGAGGCGACAGATCTGGACATTATGGGAGATCGCACCAGCTATAACGACAATTCTGGTGTTTATTATATGGAGGATTTGGTGCTGCCTGATATAACGACACCCAATCCTGGTGGTGGCCGAAAACTTCTAAACAAGGCGAAGACGATGGCTAAGTTATTGCGGAAAGGCGAAATTACACCTGATAAGCTGAGGACCTCTGGGCTGGCCGCTCGAAATGGATCGGAAAAGAATCTGAAACTTGAGTTTTTCGGAAACGAGACTTTGTTCAGCAAGCAATTGGCTCTTCGGTATAACTTGCCGCTCACCAAGCCTTGCAATTCCATGAAGACTCATGGGGTTGGAAGGAGCATCTTGGCGATTTGGCAAGCTGCGGTGCTTCCTGTTGATCCGAGTGCCACTCCTGTTCCTGGCTTATATTCGGAGGTTCGACTTGTTTTGACAGATTCTCGTTCATGCTGCTCTTCTTACCATTGTATTTCAACAGGTGTTAAAGCCCGAGGCTTGGGAGAAACGGCCTATTGATGTTCTTGTCCTTCATGGGGGCTCACGGCTTTCTACTTTGGTGCACCAGGTATTCCTCCTGCGAGTTGGTGTTGTGATTTTCGCTTGGGCTTGATCTTATCCCAAAGCAGCTCACATTGGCAGGGCCGTTCCTTCACAAAGGAAGCATTTTAAGCGTTTTGGGTTTTGCTCGTTCTCCATTGGTATGTGGTGCAGCACCATGTATTGAGTGTTGGATCATTCAGCTAACCGAAATTTCACGCCTGAGCAGGTCGAGGCGTTCTTTCAGCACCTAGTCCCTGATTTTCTTGAAATTCGTGTGATTGACTTGTGTGGTGTCTCATGGAGCTTCACTCTAAGGAAAGACCATCTGGTGTTGTTCGAGGCACGAGGATCATACCAGGTCTAATGTTATGCTACCTACTCAAACGTTGACTTCACTGTGCAGGTCGTATGTTGACTGGAACATCTTGCATTCATATCGACCATCAAGAGAGCAACATCTTTGGGAAAAAGTGGTTGCTTTAATTGGCAAGTTTCTGAAAAGTAATGGAGAATACAACCAACGGTTGCTTGAGTGTACTCTGGACATCCTGGGAGCAAGGTATGCAATGCATGCAACGTGGGTCTTTGTTCTTGCTTTTTGAAGTCTGATTTTGTACTGAGCAGGTTTGACAGAGCGGGAGCGTCACTGCAAAGTATGTGAGTGAGACATCACCGTATCTCAGCTTTTTGGGCGAGATGACCTGGTAGCATTAGCACAGATTGGACCACCTTGTACTAATTTATTACCATCATTCCATTCATTGCTAGTTAATGTGCCCTTCCTTGTACAATTTGTTTGTCTAAATACCAAAACACCTTATAAGTTGGATGCAGTACTAAGCAATATATTTCAGATGTGACTCCAGGGTTATCGCTTCTGAAACATGAACCTTACTTGCATTTCCCCTACCCATGCCTCCTCCCTCTTCCTCTTCCCCTTCCCCCACTCCTCCTCCCCCCACTTCCCTCCATCACCCCTTTCCCCTGCATTTAATCACCCACCTCTTTGGTTGCGTTCGCTCTATTTGATGTCAACTTGCCCTTTTCTCCCTGCATGTGATCATTTCTCGCACACACTTGCATCCAGATGCATCGACGTAGCCCTCATGGACGGTAGGTACATCCATTTTCCGATATCCATGGAATGGACACAAGAATGTAACATCACTGCAAAGTGCGTGAGACATCGTCCTGGCTTCTGGCCACCTGACGTTGTTCTGTTGGCAACAAGACCGAATGGTTCCATGTATGAAGTTCGTAAGTACCGTAACCGTTGACAATCATCCAGTTCCTTTTTGGATCAATTTGAGAACCCTTGGTACCGTGATCTCCCGGTTAGAAGCCCCGGGGGTCTTATCCTAAATGTGCTTGAAATGGGTTGTGGGGTCTTATGTAATGGCATATAGTGCATAAGACCCCTGGACATCTATTAATTACTAAAAAATGGATTGTGTAGTGCAGTGTCGAAGAAATTCGAAAATTTCTGTACTGAATTTTGGATTCCTTAAAACCGGGGTGCACATTCAGCTGAATGTGCATCAAAGGTTATCCCTTGACTGAGTGGGTTACGAGGTGTGCTTTCAACCCCTTCAAGTCGAAATTCGTTTCCCCCCTCCCCCGCAATTTCGTTTCCCCACGCCCCCGCAATTTCATTTCCCCCTCCCCGTCGAAATTCGTTTCCCCCCTCCCCCGCAATTTTGTTTCCCCCCTCCCCCGCAATTTCGTTCCCCCCCCCTCCCGCCAATCTGTTTCATCCCTCCCGCCATTCGGTTTCACCCACTCCCGCCATTTCACCCCCTCCCGCCACCTACGAAATGCCCGAAGCTCTAGCGGAATCATTTTTTTGTCGCCCCTCGTGAGCCAATCACTGTTTTTCTCCAAACCCCCTTCCCAACATCTCAAGCCGAACCGCGTTGAATGTGCACCCTGGTTTTAACAGCACGGAAATTCATTCTCAGATTCTCGCACTCGAGTCTCCCTGATTCCTTTCCGCACGTTCAGAAATGTCGAATAATGACAGGCACGTCAGCATTTCTTGCCTGAAGGGCGGCAAAAATGCGTGATTGATGTGGCATCTTGACTCCCTTGACCACAAATTCGGCTGACGAAGGGAATTTGGTGGTTTTTTTGTGTGACTCGCTAACCAGCTCATGAACTAACACCACTCATTATAGCCTGAGGGGGGGTCTTATAATGATTTGGGTCAAAAGACGGGTCCTCTCCAGGACTGACCTAATAAAAGACCCCTGGTCCGGATAGAAGACCCACGGGGCTTTTATGCGGGGGGGTCTTGTAACCGGGAGATCACGGTAGATCCGTCAGTCAGACGAATGCAATTAAGATACCGTATGTAGTAGGCAACTTGGGGCCTGCATGCGTGCCATGCTGGAAAAGGCAAATAGGTTTTGCGCACCCTGTGCCTCCATATGTAGATCTCATGTACAGCAAGTACCGTACTACATCCATACAGCACAAAATAATGCACTGATACAGTCCCGTACAGTTCTGCATAGAACATGCTAACTGGTTACACCAGCAGAGACAAGGTGGGAAACAAGAGCATCCAACGGCCCTAGGAGCTTGTCCAGCTGATCGCCTTTTCGAAGTGTGATGCAATCTGCTGCTTGCTGCAGTCTTGCTACAGCACCGGCTGCAACCATGGCGTGCGCTGCTGCGTCTGGACCAGAAAAAATGACAGGGTTTTGTCAGAATGATGATTTTTAAATGAAACACTGAACCCAGCTGTTAGGATGACTTGATCATGCCATAGTAGGTGACAGATGAGTGAAAGAGGAAGCAGCAGAGCGAATGCTTTGAGGATGTCTCAGAGGTGGGAGGGGATGAAAGAGCTGCAACAGATAGAGAGAGACAGCAAGCACCTGAAGAAGCTTCCGAAGAAGCAGCGTGGGTGCAGACACAGACACCTGTGTGGCTACCTCAAAAGCACCTAATCTTACCTGAAAGAGTCAGGTGGGTGAGGCAGGTGCCTCTTCGAAGGCGAAAGAGGAGGGGGAGCTAGTGGAAGAAGCAGCACAAGTTGAAACGGAAATGAAAAGCTCACCTGATTGAGCCAGGTGGGTGAGGCAGGTGAGTGCTTCCTTGACCGTGCGCTTTTCAGAAGGCGAAAGAGGAGGGGCGCCGAGTGGAGGAGGGGCAAGAGGAGGAGGATTTGCAAGAGGAGGGGAGGAAGGATGAGGGGTTGCTTCAGTGTGGTGAAAAGGGGATTCGAGGAGGAGCAGGAGGTGTGGAAGAGCTCCAGCTTCCATGATTTTCATGCGAGTCTCATCTGGCAGGGGAGAATGAGGGAATGAAGATGGAGAGGGGAAGAGCGGGGGAGGAGGGACGAGGGGTAGCTTCAGTGTGGTGAAACGGGGATTCGAGGAGGAGCAGGAGGTGCGGAAGAGCTCCAGCTTCCATGATTTTCATGCGAGTCTCACCTGGTGGGGGAGGAGAAGGAGGGAAAGAAGTGGATTAGCGAGAGAGCAGCAAGGTCAATAACACGCTGTAGGTGGCAAGGGGCTTAAGATGCATGAGGGCCAGGGAAGAAGACGTGCATGGTTAACCCACAAATATATTGCTGTTTTGTAAGATCAGTGCAGGCAGAAACGGCGGCAGCCACAGGGACTTGACTTATGAGTTAACTTGGATATTAGGTCAGAATTTGGCTTTTCGGTCAGTCCTTGGCTTTTGAGTCATAACTTGGCTTGGCTTTTAAGTTGGAACTTGGCTTTTGTGTCAAAACTTGGCCTTTGGGTCTGAACCAGCTTTGAGTCAAAACTTGGCTTCTGTGGCAAAGCTGGAGCTCACCATTGGAGGCAATGAAGGCGAGGCGGTACGCTCCCGATCGCCTGAGGAAAGGGTCCTTGGCCCTGAGGAGAGCGATGGAATGGCGGATAAGCGAGTCTCCTAGTGTGGAGGGGAGCAAGGGGACGGGAAACCGGATGAATAAGAGTGTCGGCTATATTTCATAAACTAAGATGGTACTCACATGAGCTGAGATGACACTCATCAATAAGCTGATATGACACTCATCAATAAGCTGATATGACACTCACATGAGCTGAGATGACACTCACATGAGCTGAGATGACACTCACATGAGCTGAGATGACACTCACATGAGCTGAGATGATACTCATTCGTCAACTGAGACAACACTCATTCATGAGCTGAGATCACACCCAAGCTAAGATGAGATGACACTCACCCATGAGCTGAGATGACACTCACCCATGAGCTGAGATGACACTCACCCATGAGAGGAAACGCGTTAATCGCGACCCCAACAATGGTGGCAGCAACAATGAGCTTAAAGCCCCAGTGCGACCGCCACCCCAAATTCTCCTCGTCCATTGACTCGTATTCTTCCCTCTCCCCTCCTTCCCCCCTGCTCCTGCTATCCTCCTCCCCAATCTGCTCCCTCCTGTTGTTGCGCTCGTTTTTGTCTTGTGTACTCCCCTCTCCCTGCTCCCCTTCTTTGCCATCGTTCACTCCGACTGATCGCGCCTTTTCTGCGTCCAGGGAGCTCACGAGGCCGGTTATCAGACGCCTCTGCTGGCCAATAAGCAGACGGTCGCTACCTGCTTCGCCATTCACGACTCTGGTAACCACTGAGCTCTGTCGTGACAGGGTGACAACAGAGGGTGTCGCCGCAACGCTGGATCTTCTTCCTAAATGTTGTCCCGCGAGCCGGGGACCTACTCTAGTCCAGCGGCTAGACTCCTTCGCCTCGACAAGCCACTGCGCGTGCGGGGAGCGGTGGCGGCGGGGATCAGACGCGGGGATGAAACCAGAGAGGCCTCCATAGTCCGCTGGTCCTCCTGCTCGCGTTATTGTGTCGCATGATCGAGCAACGGCGGCCAAAAGCGGTGCTCCTGCTCCCTCCCTTGCCCCCTCTCTTGCTTCCTCGGCCCCGTGAGCAGAGCTTCCAAGCCGCTCACACGACGCAGGAAGATCGACGGATGTCTGAGGCCGAGAAGTGCAGAGACGATCTGATCCGTTCACAGGAAACCCACAGACCCCTTGCAGCGACGCGCGTACGGAATCGGAACAAAGACGCTTTGTTACGGAATATGAGGATAAGTTAACGAGAGATCGGTCTACGATATCGATTGCCTGCCTGCTCTGGGTGCATGTTCGGCGAGATATTCTGGCAGCAGCCATGGATCCAAGGCGAGGGAGCGCTGGTTGCAGAAACCAGATTTGACGTACACTCCTTGTACATTCCAGGCGGTGGTTCGAGTCATTTTACATTTCAGGCTGTGGTTCGAGTCAATTTCCTTGTGCAGGATCTTTATATGTTCAGATCCGAATGCCTGAGTTGCTCTGTAACTGCGCGGTAACATGTGTAGACACATGTCTCCGTGTACATTTGGAAGCAAACGTTGGTACGTAGGATGGTCGGAAAACCGCAATGCACCATGTGCTGTACAAGAATTCAAATAGTTGTTTTTTTTCGTTGGACCCCTGTAACTTCTTGAACACAAATGTACCGCGTCCTTGGCACACATCCTAGGGAACTCCTTAGATGATGGCAGAACCAGTGCCAACCACAAGCCGTTGATGCATACCCGCATAGCAAAAATCGGGAACACCGATTCTGTTCGGCATTTTCCCTAAAATTGCTGGGGGTTGCCTTGGTCAGGCCATAGCTTTAGTATCCCAACATATTCTAGCTTGCGGTGCCATAGACATTGTTCGATACGCGCGGTGCACGCGGCGACTAACGCGGCATGGAGGACGAGATGGAGGAGATGAACTGGGGGGTGAGCAACCATGCCTTAGCGTGGTAGCTGTGCTCGTTCTAATCGTTAGCCTGCTCTCTTAGTCGTTTGGAATGGCTTCGCTTTGCGCTCCGCGATTCGATATGTCGCTATCGATTAAGAGCTGAATTGTCTGATGGGATAGTAAGATACATCGCGGAATGGTTAAACTTCCTATTTTTGTTCTTTCATTCTATGTTTTCATTGCTTTAACTCGGTAGTGACAAGCGAAGTTTCCGGTTGACTTTTGGCGCATGAGTCGTAGCGTCGTCCTGTCACTTCCACTCTCGTCGACTCCAGTCGTCGTGCTCTTGTCGCGTGGCGATTCGCTGCTTGCACCACAACAAAGCGGCGCTAGTCGAAAGAGAATACTGTGCCCGTGTCGGACACCTACTGTTTCACGGGAACGTTTCTTAAATCGTGGCAGCGTTTTAACAGGGAAAAAGCTCTCACATTGCTTCGATTAAAGAGAGCTGCACCTATTTCCCTTGACTAATTATTTTTTTCTCCGACTAAAGACTCTCTCTTCAATGGTGAAACCAGACCAGGCTGACACGTTTCCTCTGAACCATGTTTTTGCGCTTCCTCTCCCGTTCCTTTATCGAATTCTTCTGCGTTTTCGCCTTCCCCATTTACGCTCGTCTGTGTTCCGTTACCCTCGCCTCACCCTTCGACCCGCGCGGTGGAGCTTCGGCTGGATGGCACTAACAACTTCCCCGTCTCATCCTATCCCCATGTGCTCCTATTCCCTCTTTCTCAGCCCATTTTCCCATTTTCTACCGCTTCCCACCTTTTCCCCCTTCCCCCTCTCCCCTCCTCTCCATCCCGCCGCCTCCCCTCAATCGCACATTTTCCCCTCGTTCCCCCCTTTCCCCCCCCCTCCGCTTTCGTGTTCAGGCGGTAGAGGACCGGCCGTCCGTACATCCAGGACGTGTGGAAGGAGCCACGATTAGACGCACCGTTTTTTCTTTTCCCGTGTCATTTTGACCAACCTTCGTTTCTCGCCTGAACTCCCACCCCACCCTCCCCTCCCCCCACCACCTGCTCCCCCTATTTTCCTCTCCACTTCCCGCTAAGGACGTGGAGGACCAGCGATCGGGCATTCAAGAAGTGTGGAAGTGGAAGGAGCCAACCACGGTTCAACACACTTTGATATTTATTTGAGGCAATTTCCTTCTTCCATTCTTGTTCCCGCCTACTTCCTTCCCCACCTCCCACCAGGCCGTGGAGGACCAGCTATCGGGCATCCAGGACGTGTGGAAGGAGCCACGGTTCGACGCACATTGATATACTCTTTCCCACCTTTTTACCCACTTGCCCACCACCTCCCCCCAGGCCGTGGAGGACCAGCTGTCGGGCATCCAGGACGTGTGGAAGGAGCCACGGTTCGACACGCTGCCGCACGTGGTGGCGGTGCTGACGTCAGGGTACCCTCAGGATGACATGGCGAGCCTGGCGAAGCTGCGGGACACCATCGAGGTGCTCGTGGACGATGTGGTGCAGGCGTACCATCAGGGCTTTAACAAGGCCATCCACAACTACTCTCAGGTGGGTTGCTTGCTGTTGTAACTTAGTACGTGTGTAATTATGTGTGTTACTAGATCGAGGTGCTCGTGGCGTGGATGATGTCGTGCAGGCGTACCACCAGGGCTTTAACAAGGCCATTCACAACTACTCGCAGGTCCGTTTTTGTTGCGTGCATATGTACACATGAATACATGTTACGAAGTTGTGTAAACACTTCCTTGTGTGATGCATAAGTCAAACCCTGCACGCTCGCAGGTCGGTTGGTATTGCTTGCATGCTGGAGTGTCCAGCAGGCTCTTTGCATCCCCCTGTCCAACTCCACGCCCACCCCAACACCTCCCCTTCCCTCCAGATTCTGAAGCTGTTCAGCGAGTCGGCGGAGCAGGTGAGCGAGCTCAAGGCGAGTCTGGCGGAGAGGCTGTCATGACCATGTGCCACGCACCGTGTCACCTCCTCCCCTCCCCTCTCTGCCCCTCTCCCCCTCCCAGATTCTGAAGCTGTTCAGCGAGTCGGCGGAGCAGCAGATGAGCGAGCTCAAGGCGAGTCTGGCGTGGATGCGCATAGCACCTTGCCGTGGCTCTCCTCTCCACGTACTGATGTCCCCATCACCCCATCCATCTCCCCCTCCCAGATTCTGAAGCTGTTCAGCGAGTCGGCGGAGCAGCAGATGAGCGAGCTGAAGGCGAGTCTGGCGTGGATGCGCATAGCACCTTGCCGTGGCTCTCCTCTCCACGTACTCATGTCCCCATCACCCCATCCATCTCCCCCTCCCAGATTCTGAAGCTGTTCAGCGAGTCGGCGGAGCAGCAGATGAGCGAGCTCAAGGCGAGTCTGGCGTGGATGCGCATAGCACCTTGCCGTGGCTCTCCTCTCCACGTACTGATGTCCCCATCACCCCATCCATCTCCCCCTCCCAGATTCTGAAGCTGTTCAGCGAGTCGGCGGAGCAGCAGATGAGCGAGCTCAAGGCGAGTCTGGCGTGGATGCGCATAGCACCTTGCCGTGGCTCTCCTCTCCACGTACTGATGTCCCCATCACCCCATCCATCTCCCCCTCCCAGATTCTGAAGCTGTTCAGCGAGTCAGCGGAGCAGATGAGCGAGCTCAAGGCGAGTCTGGCAGGGAGGCTGTCACGGCTATCCACACTCATGACCATGCATGCACCATGCACCGTCCATGTCCCCTCCCCTCTCTGCCCCGCTCCCGCTACCTCCAGATTCTGAAGCTGTTCAGCGAGTCAGCGGAGCAGATGAGCGAGCTCAAGGCGAGTCTGGCGGAGGCGAGGCGGCTGCTGAGCAACCGGCACAAGCAGCTGCAGCAGCTCTGGTGCCGCTCAATCACACTGCGCCACGTCATCTCCCTCATCGACCAGATCGACAGCGTCTCCAAGGCACGTGCATGCATTCACATGTGATGCACAAGCACGAGTTACGTCATATCTAATCTCATCGCATCACATTGCATCGTATCTTCGATTGTTCAATCCAGTCCAACCGCCACGCCATGCCAGCATCCATCCATTCATGGACCACCAAATTGTCAGCCTCGTGAACTGCGGCAATGGCACCGCTCCGCGTTCTCCCATGCTGCCATTTTTTGGCATCCAGTATCTATCTGCACCGCACAGTGCCATGCCACCAGGTCGACATCCTCATGTCTTCTCTCCCCCCATTCTCCCCTGCAAACTCCCTTCTCTCCCCCCATTCGCCCCTGCAAACTCCCTTCTCTCCTCCCATTCTCCCCTGCAAACTCCCTTCTCTCCCCCCATTCTCCCCTGCCAACTCCCTTCTCTCCCCCCATTCTCCCCTGCCAACTCCCTTCTCTCCCCTCCGTTCGAATCCATCCAACTTCTCCGTCCCCTTCTGTGCAGGTGCCAGCGCGCATAGAGCAACTGGTGTCGGAGGGGCAGCTGTATGCTGCCGTGCAAGATCTTCTCCCATTTCCCATTCTTTCCTGTATCCGCCTTATTAACCCCCCCCCCCGCCCCCCTTCCACCCACACCCCTCCCCTCCCTCTCTCATTCCCTCCTGTGCAGGTGCCAGCGCGCATAGAACAGCTGGTGTCGGAGGGGCAGCTGTATGCTGCCGTGCAGATTCACCTGCAGTCCATCTCCACCCTCGACAGAGAGGGCATCTCCCAGGTGAAAACAACAGACAGCATGGTTGCCAGGTGAAAACCACAGAAACAACATCTGCCAGGCAAGGCTTCCCTAAAAGGCGCCTACCTTGATTGTGGTAGTCATATGATACGACAGTTCTTGATTGTGCCATGGCCCATGGGGTTGAGTGAGTGAGTGAGCGCATGACATGTGGGTCCATGGGGGGACACATGCGGGGAGAGTTGGCACATGACATGTGGGTCCAGACTCCAGTGACTTGCAGACTCTCCTCCCAAGCTAGGGAGGCACTGCTTCTGATTATTGGGGAGATCTTCAGTCTTTTCAAGACTTCAGTCTATTAGAAAAAATCAGTCTATTCTATGCTCAGAGTCCCCCCCACACTCCATATTCCACTCCACTCCATGCAGATCGGAGCGCTGAGGGACATTCGCAACGAGCTGGCGAACACAAAGCTGCTGCTGTTCAACCGAGTGATAGAGGAGCTGCACGCGCACCTGTACAACAAGGGCGAGCACAGGTGGGTGTGGTGGGGCTCATACATGTGCTTGCATTGCACATGCATACACACACGCACGCGCGCATGCATACACACACGCACTCGCGCACACACGCACTCGCGCACGCATACACACACGTGCGCATGCATACACACGTGCGCATGCATACACACACGTGCGCATGCATACACACATGTATGCGTACTTGTACATTAACGGGCAGCACAGGTGGGTGGGTAGGTATCAATGCATTGCCTTGCATGGGCTGGGCCACATGATTGTTGCATGGGCCACATGATTGTTGCATGGGCCACATGATTGTTGCATGGGCCACATGATTGTTGCATGGGCCACATGATTGTTGCATGGGCCACATGATTGTTGCATGGGCCACATGATTGTTGCATGGGCCACATGATTGTTGCATGGGCCACATGATTGTTGCATGGGCCACATGATTGTTGCATGGGCCACATGATTGTTGCATGGGCCACATGATTGTTGCATGGGCCACATGATTGTTGCATGGGCCACATGATTGTTGCATGGGCCACATGATTGTTGCATGGGCCACATGATTGTTGCATGGGCCACATGATTGTTGCATGGGCCACATGATTGTTGCATGGGCCACATGATTGTTGCATGGGCCACATGATTGTTGCATGGGCCACATGATTGTTGCATGGGCCACATGATTGTTGCATGGGCCACATGATTGTTGCATGGGCCACATGATTGTTGCATGGGCCACATGATTGTTGCATGGGCCACATGATTGTTGCATGGGCCACATGATTGTTGCATGGGCCACATGATTGTTGCATGGGCCACATGATTGTTGCATGGGCCACATGATTGTTGCATGGGCCACATGATTGTTGCATGGGCCACATGATTGTTGCATGGGCCACATGATTGTTGCATGGGCCACATGATTGTTGCATGGGCCACATGATTGTTGCATGGGCCACATGATTGTTGCATGGGCCACATGATTGTTGCATGGGCCACATGATTGTTGCATGGGCCACATGATTGTTGCATGGGCCACATGATTGTTGCATGGGCCACATGATTGTTGCATGGGCCACATGATTGTTGCATGGGCCACATGATTGTTGCATGGGCCACATGATTGTTGCATGGGCCACATGATTGTTGCATGGGCCACATGATTGTTGCATGGGCCACATGATTGTTGCATGGGCCACATGATTGTTGCATGGGCCACATGATTGTTGCATGGGCCACATGATTGTTGCATGGGCCACATGATTGTTGCATGCCGTCATTTAGGAATCCGTGCACAGCGCTACAAAGCAGAGGGAGCACAGCACAGGCACTAGTTAGTTGGTGCAATTATCAGATCAGATCGAAAGTATATACGTGTCATGTCATGTGTGTGTGTGTGGGGATGGTGGCGGTGTGTGTGTGGTTGTAGATTGGCATGGCATCGGGCTTGTCTTCATCTGTTTTTTTTGAATTCTACAAAAAAAAAAAGAGAATTCTCAAAAAACAGATTGTGTGGCTGTAGATTGGCATTGTGCTTGTCTTCTTATGAGCGTGATTGTCAACACAAAAAAGGCGTATTGAGTTTAACAAATAGTCACTCTTGACTTATATACGTGATGAGAAACTTCCCCCAAAGGAGGCAATAACAATAGTAGTGACACATATCTTATCCCCCCCCTCATCTCTCCCCATCTTCTCCGATGATTCCCCTTCCCCTCCCTCCCTCCCCCCACCCCTCCTCCCTCCCCCCCCTCCTCCACTCCTCTGCGCAGTTTGAAGAAGGAAGCTGCAACAGACGACGACGATGACATCAGCAACCTCGTGCCTGTAACCGTGCCACCCGCCGCCCCGCTACATCCGTCCCTTGCCGCCCAGGGCATCTCTCTGCCCGCCCCCTCCAAGCCCTCCCGCACCCGCGGCCGCAGCGCCAGGGCCCGTGGGGGGCTGAACGTGGAGACCGGGTAAGGCGTGGTGTGGCGTGGGAGATGGGATGTGGCGTTACTGACCTCTGGGTCCTTTGGGAGCGTATTGGTACGACTTTTGAGAATTCTCAGAAGTCGTACCAATATAACTGACCTCTGGGTCCTTTGGGAGCGTAGAGACTGGGTAAGGCCTTTGGGAGAGATTGGTAAGGGAGCAACAAGAAATCCGCACACATCTATTTATTTGCTGGGAGGAAAGGCACCTGGGAGATGGGGGAAGGGGTCAGTCAGCTACCACCACGAAACAAGCACATGTTGCTTGGCCATACATACAAGTCCGTCTCCAGAGCTCATTGAGCAAGTTCAGTTCAGTCATGTTCAAAACTGTGAGTTTGGGACTCTCAGCCAAAGGTTTTGAGACTTTTGAATTCATCCTCTTTTCCACCTTTCCCCTCCCCTCTGGTCTCCCATTCCCCCCCCCCCCCCCCCCCCCCCCCTCCTCTTTTTCCGCCTCCAGGAGCGCTGTGAGTGAGGACGATGACGGCACATTGGGCTCGCCCACACGCAGTGAGGCGTCGGGGACGTCGGCCCCGGGGGGAGAGATGGTGGTGAGGCGCGCCCACGTGGCGCCGCCCAAGTGGCTCACTGAAGCCACCTCCAACGAGTTTGTGGTGCGTGGTTGGTGGGGGATTGGGGATGGGATGGATGTTGGTGGTGAATGGGGAGAGCGGGATGGGTGTCTGTGGTGGGTGGGTAGGTGCGGAGGTGATTTTAATGTAAATTTGAGATGGGGGTGAGGTGGCAGCTCCATCTGCAACGCGCAGTGAGGCGCCGGGCACGTCGGCGGCGGGGGGGGGGGGGGGAGGGGAGGGGGGGGGGGGGGGGGTTAGGCGCGCCCACGTGTCCCCGCCCAAGTGGCTCACTGAAGCCACCTCCAACGAGTTTGTGGTGCGTGCTGGGTGTGGGGGAAGGGATGGGATGAGTGTCTGTGCCGAGTAAGAGAGCACTCATAGGCCCCAGAGCATGAGAAGTACATGCAGGCGCTGGTGGAGTCGAGTGTATCGCACTTCCTGCCCTTGTACACGCATTACCTGCACTGCACCCATGCACCCGTGTCCCATTACCCGCACACACAGGAGTCATTAACCAAGAGGGAGGCCCCAGAGCACAAGTACATGCAGACGCGGGTGGAGTGTGTGGGACTGTGCTGTGTTCATTCCTGCATGCGTTCACTCACCCATGCACCCGTTCATTCACGTGCACCCCATGGCGTCTCACACAGGAGTCGTTGACCAAGAGGGAGGCCCCAGAGCATGACAAGTACATGCAGACGCGGGTATTGTGCATTGCTCTGCATTCATTCACCCGTGCACCCACTCATGTTCACCCCACCCCGTGGCTCCTCTTACAGGAGTCGCTCACCAAGAGGGAGGCCCCAGACCAGAGCACGACAAGTACATGCAGACGCTGGTGGAGTGCATCGCTCTGCCCTCTCATGCATTCATGCACTCACCCATCCATGCACCCATTCACCCACCCATCCCACCCACACAGGAGTCGCTCACCAAGAGGGAGGCGCCAGAGCACGACAAGTACATGCAGACGCTGGTGGAGTGCATCGCTCTGCTGGGCAAGGTGGCAGCTGCTGGTGCCGTGCTCAGGTGGGCTCTTTGCTCTTCCAGGTGGGCTTTTCCCCTCTCAAACGGGCTGCTCGTTCCTCTCAGACCCTGGTGGAGTGCATCGCTCTGCTGGGCAAGGTGGCAGCTGCTGGTGCCGTGCTCAGGTGGGCTCTTTGCTCTTCCAGGTGGGCTTTTCCCCTCTCAAACGGGCTGCTCGTTCCTCTCAGACCCTGGTGGAGTGCATCGCTCTGCTGGGCATGGTGGCTGCTGCTGGTGCCGTGCTCAGGTGGGCTCTTTGCTCTTCCAGGTGGGCTTTTCCCCTCTCAAACGGGCTGCTCGTTCCTCTCAGACCCTGGTGGAGTGCATCGCTCTGCTGGGCAAGGTGGCTGCTGCTGGCGCTGTTCTCAGGTGGGCTGCTCCCGCCTCTCAGATGGGCCTCTCAGGTGGGCTGCTCGCCCCTCTCAGGTGGGCTGCTCGCCCCTCTCAGGTGGGCTGCTCGCCCCTCTCAGGTGGGCTGCTCGCCCCTCTCAGGTGGGCTGCTCGCCCCTCTCAGGTGGGCTGCTCGCCCCTCTCAGGTGGGCTGCTCGCCCCTCTCAGGTGGGCTGCTCGCCCCTCTCAGGTGGGCTGCTCGCCCCTCTCAGGTGGGCTGCTCGCCCCTCTCAGGTGGGCTGCTCGCCCCTCTCAGGTGGGCTGCTCGCCCCTCTCAGGTGGGCTGCTCGCCCCTCTCAGGTGGGCTGCTCGCCCCTCTCAGGTGGGCTGTTTCGCCCCTGTCAGGTGGACTCTTTGTGCCTCCCAGGTGGGGCCCTGCCCCTTCCCAGGTGGTCTTTCCCCCCTCCCAGGTGGTCTTTCCCCCCTCCCAGGTGGTCTTTCCCCCCTCCCAGGTTAAATTTCTTCCACAGCTGTGATTCCGGCTCCTCTCAGGTGGGCTGCTCACCCATCCCTCCCTCTCTATTATTCTCCATACGTGGTGCTGCTCTGGCTTGTGCTCTGGTGCTGCTTTCCATGCATTGCCATTGCCTCATGCTGTGTTACGCCTCTTTGTGTGCGCACACGTGCGCGTGTGTGTGTATGTTCATGCGTGTGTGCATGTGTGTGCGTGTGTGCGTGTGCGTGTGTGTGTGTGTGTGTGTGTGTGTGTGTGTGTGTGTGTGTGTGTTTGTGTGTTCATGCATATGTGCGTGCATGCGTGTGTGCGTGCGTGTGTGTGTGTGTGTGTGTGTGTGTGTGTGTGTGTGTGTGTGTTCATGCATGTTGTGCGTGTGTGTGCACATGTGTGTGTGTGATGTGAGCATGAGAGCAGTCAGCGTGTGCGGGGATCGGTGCGCGAGATCATCCTACATGAGATCAAGGACTATGCAGCTGCAGCAGATGCAGCGCGGTGAGTCGGGGAGTTTCGTTTCGAGATTCAGGCCTGGATGCAGCTTGCTTCCCTTCCAGATTGAATGGCCAGCAGTTTCCGTCCGCTGTCCTGTCCGTAGCACTTCTGTTTCTGCCGGCATTCATTGTTTAATGCTGCAGATAAGGTCAGCGGCTGGCAAGTCCAGCTGTGAGCGTCTGTTGCGCATGCATCTTGGTGCAGTGCGGTCAGAATCGGGTGAGAGAGTAACCTTAGCAGCAGATCCCGCTGTTTCAGTGCAAAACCGTTCTTTTGCAGAGCAAGCATGGAAGGTGGCACATTCATTCAGACATCTCTTCCTCGTCGTTCATTCCTGTGTCATTCTTGGGACATTCTTTTGGTGATTTATTGGTCCAGTAGTCGACCTTCTTTACCCATTAACCTCCCTCTTCCCTCCACCTCCTCCCCCCTCTCCCCCCAGACCCCGAGTGGAGCAGGTGAGCAAGCACTCCCAATCCTGTGTCACGCGAACAGTCGCGAGACTGTTCGCACAAGCTACATCCACGCCTCACTCCCCCTCCTTTGCTCTTTTCCCCCGTCAACCCAACCTTCTTCCTCCACCCCCCCCCCCCCCCTGCGGCCCTGCCCCTTTTCCCCAGTCCCCGAGTGGAGCAAGTGAGCAAGCGCTCTCAGGTGGCCACCACGCCCCACTCGGCCTCCTCCACGCCCTCCTCTGCCCGTTTCTCCCACCCCTCTTTCTCCCCCTTCCTCCCCTCTTTCTCTACCCCCTTTTCCCCAGTCCCCGAGTGGAGCAAGTGAGCAAGCGCTCCCAGGCTGCCACCACGCCCCACTCGGCCTCCTCCACGCCCTCCTCCCACTCCACCGCCTCCTACTCCTCCACCTCCCACTCCACCGCCTCCTACTCCTCCTACTACCCCCTCCGCTCCTCCACCTCCCGCGACACATTCCCTTAGGCTTTTCTTCCTCTTTCTTCATTCGTTCTGTGATTCATCAGTTCAATCCTCGACCTCTCCTCCTCTCTCCTCTCCCCCTCCCCCCCCAGTCCCCGAGTGGAGCAAGTGAGCAAGCGCTCCCAGGCGGCCACCACACCCCACTCAGCCGCCTCCACGCCCTCCTCCCACTCCACCGCCTCCTACTCCTCCACCTCCCGCGCCTCCTCCTACTCCTCCTACCCTCTCCGCTCCTCCAACCCCCGCGGCGGGGCAGTGGTGGTGGCGGGAGGGGGAGGCGCGGGCGGAGGGGCGGGGGGAGGGGCAGGGGCGGGGCTGCATGCGCCCAACGGGGTGGCGCAGGTGGTGGCTCAGGAGCTGCTGGAGTCGATTATGAAGAAACTGACCGTGATTCTAGGTGGGTGTGAGTGTATTGAAGGTTGCTATATATGTGGTGGTGGTGTGTCCCCAGTAGGTGGGGGCAGGGCAGGGGCGGGGCTGCATGCTCCGACGGGGTGGCACAGGTGGCTTGGTGACTTAGGAGCTGCTGGAGTCGATTATGAAGAATCTGACCGTGATTCTAGGTGCGCGTGCTTGTGTTTAGGGTTTCTGTGTGTGGTGGTGTGTGCTTGTAGCAGTGGGGAAGGAGATGTGCGTAAAAGGGGAGGTGTGGGCACAGGGGGGGTGGGGGAGGGCCGTTGATGGGGCTGCTTGCTCCCATCCCAATCGGGTGGGCCAGCCCTGTTGGTGGCTTTGGAGCTTAGGAGTCAATAATGGGGCTGCTCACCGTAATTCAGAGACACTCACTGTAATTTGAGGTACGTGTGTCCGAGACCTGGTTTGAAAAGTTCCAAGCAATGTGTTCACAAACTGCTCGCCTGTAATGTGCCAGCCACACGCCAGCCAATTGGGGACGAGGTGGTCAGCAGCAGCAATTCGAGCAAGCTCAGAGTTCCCTTTCTGCTCCTCTCCCCTTCCCTTCCGTCCGGGTGCAGAGAATCACATAGTGGTGGGCAAAGGCATCTTCATGGAGGCAACGGCGTCATGAGACCACTATGGTTGCCACAACGAGGGGTTGGTGTGCCTCGTTGCTTCTCCTACTCGGACACTCCAACCCCTCCTCCCCACCGGACCCATTCGACCCTCACCAGAGAGAACCACATAGTGGTGGGGGACGTCATGGAGGCCAAGGCGTCAGACCGCTCCGGGGACGTGCGGCGCATTTTTTCTCCTCTCCAACTCCACTCCAATGTACCGCATCCCACCCGACTGTTACCGCAGAGAACCACATCGTGGTGGGAGACCTCATGGAGGCCAAGGCATCGGACCGCTCGGGGGACGTGCGGCTCTTTGCCTCTCCTTCTCCAGTGCCCGGATTCCTGCTCCCTACCCACGACCCTCCCTTCATTGTTGCAGAGAACCACATAGTGGTGGGCGACCTCATGGAGGCCAAGGCGTCGGACCGCTCGGGGGACGTGCGGCGCACGCCGGATGGGGACGAGGCGGTCAGCAAGTTCAGCGCCAGCACGGGCGGCTACAGCGTCGCTTTCGTCTGGTCCTGCATGCAGGTGGGCGGCAAGCTCTGGACTGTTCTGCACGGGTGCATGGAAAGGCTTGGCATGTGCCTCTTTCGCTTGGGGAGCGGAGCGCTTTGTCCGATTGTGTGTGCACCTGGTGTGGCTGTTTGTCTGGTCTGATCTGATCCTCATGGTTAAGTGCTCGTTTTGTCTGTTTCTGTGTGTGCGACATCCTGAGGGCCAAATCTTGTTGACTGTGTGCCTCTCGTTCCCTTGTATTCCTCCTCCCTCCCCACCCCTTCCCTCCCTCCCTGCTCCCCTCCCTCCTCCACTTCACACAGAGCGAGTGCCAGCAGTTGCTGTGCGACATCCTCAGGGCCAACCCTTGTTGAATGGCCCCCCTATTCCCCCCCTTTCCTCCCCGGCCCCTTTCACCCCCTCTCCCCCCCCCCTTTTCCTTCGTTCAATCTCTCACCAGAGCGAGTGTCAGCAGTTGCTGTGCGACATCCTCAGGGCCAACCCAGACGGCGGGTCCTCTGAGACCTCAGGACGCACCGCCCAGCTGAAACTCGACTCCGGCGGGTACGATTTCATTTGATCCCATCTGAACTGACCCGATTCTATTCGATCCAATGACATGCTGTGATCTGATGTAATCTGATCTGATCTGATCTGCTTTCATTTTCTTGGTTGGCATCCTAGGTTGAGCGATATGTTATGGGTTTATGCTTATTCTGTCTGTTTGCTGATTATCGCACCCCACTCTCCACTCCACCCCACCCCACTCCCACATTCCCAACCCCCAAAGTCCCCCCAACCCCTCACCCCCCACTCTGCCTTACGTTCTTCTCTCCATCTCTCCTTCCTGCTCTGTCCACTCTGCTCTGCTCTTGAGTCTTTCTCCTCTGCTTCCAACTCTGTTCCTGACTCTGCTCTCTGTGTCTCAGTTCCGTAATGCCCCGTTCTCTGTCTCCCTGCTCTCATGCACAACAACGGCCTGTGTGCCCCAATGCTTCAACTGTTACATGCTTACATGGGCGTGTAACCGATTGTGGATGCATGATTGCATGGATGCATGGGTGCATGGGTGCATGGATGCATGGGTGGGTGCATGGATGCATGGATGCATGGATGCATGGGTGCATGGATGCATGGGTGCATGGGTGCATGCGTGGATGCATGGGTGCATGGCTGCACAACTGCATGACTGCATGGGTGGGTGGGTTGGATGGGTTGCACTGTTGTGTGCAATGCAGCACCAAGGGAGTCATGCTCACCTTCAGCTTCCGTTTCACCGACGCCAACACCGCCTCCGCTCCTGCCGCAGGTGGGTGGGTTGCTCCTGCTGCAGGTGGGTTGCTGCTGCTGCAGGTGGGTTGCTCCTGCTGCTGCAGGTGGGCTGCTGCTGCCGCAGGTGTGCTGCTGCTGCCGCAGGTGGGTTGCCCGCGCCTGCCACAGGTATCTTGCTGCCGCAGCCGCTGGTATCTTGCTCTCTTTCAGGTGTGCGGCCCTCTTCTTGCCTCTCTGCCACTTCAGGTGCGTTTCTGCTGCGTCCGGTCAGGCGCCACAGTGTTTCATGTTTCTCTATTCCACCTTACCGTTTGCATTCTAACCCCCACTTGCATTTCACTTGCTTTCTCTTCCCTCCCGTTTTCCTGTCTCATCCAATTACGGACTTGCTGTGAGTTGCAAAGTTGCCACAGCCCTCACGAGTTTGAGTCGTCCCAAACTGACTCTCGCTTCCCTCCCAAGTTTCTGTCTCGTCCAACTACGAACCTACTGTGATTAGCTAAGTCCTCCCAGTCCTCCCAGTCCTCCCAGTCCTCCCAGTCCTCCCAGTCCTCCCAGTCCTCCCAGTCCTCCCAGTCCTCCCTGTCCTCCCAGTCCTCCCAGTCCTCCCAGTCCTCTCAGTCCTCCCAGTCCTCCCAGTCCTCCCAGTCCTCCCAGTCCTCCCAGTCCTCCCTGTCCTCCCAGTCCTCCCAGTCCTCCCAGTCCTCCCAGTCCTCCCTGTCCTCCCAGTCCTCCCTGTCCTCCCAGTCCTCCCAGTCCTCCCAGTCCTCCCAGTCCTCCCTGTCCTCCCTGTCCTCCCAGTCCTCCCAGTCCTCCCTGTCCTCCCAGTCCTCCCAGTCCTCCCAGTCCTCCCAGTCCTCCCAGTCCTCCCAGTCCTCCCAGTCCTCCCTGTCCTCCCAGTCCTCCCTGTCCTCCCTGTCCTCCCTGTCCTCCCAGTCCTCCCAGTCCTCCCTGTCCTCCCAGTCCTCCCAGTCCTCCCAGTCCTCCCAGTCCTCTCAGTCCTCCCAGTCCTCCCAGTCCTCCCTGTCCTCCCAGTCCTCCCAGTCCTCCCAGTCCTCCCTGTCCTCCCTGTCCTCCCAGTCCTCCCCACCCGCACGGAACCTCCCTGTAGCCCCCCTCCCTAAATATTACCGGTGGCTTTTGAGAAGTGCCCACCTGCACCTGTATCTCCCGCTCCATTGAGGTGTCCCATTGAGGCGCCTCAAAAATACACCTCAATGCACGCGGCTTTTGAGAAGTGCCCACCTGCATCTGTATCTCCCCGCTCCCTACCCTCATTTGGGCGTGTCTTTCCTGCTTCCCTGCTTCTCGCTATCACCCCTCTCCCTGCCGCTCTCCCACCGCCCCTCTCTTTGCTTCCCACGACCCCTCTCCTGCTTCCCTCCCCTCCCACCGTACGCACAGCAGAGGCTCTACCAAAGAGGCGGGTGGGGGGCATGGCGGGGGGCGCGGGCGCTCTGGAGGGGTACGGCACGGCACAGCTACTGCCAGAGCGAGGCATCTACCTCACCTCCGCCTGCTACCGCCCCACACTGCAGGTGGGTTGATGTGTCTGTTGTGCGTTTAAGTCGACTCAGAACACGTTGCAGGTGGGTTGATTTGTCTGTTGTGCGTTTAAGTCGACTCGGAACACGTTGCAGGTGGGTTGGTTTGTCTGTTGTGCGTTTAAGTCGACTCAGAACACGTTGCAGGTGGGTTGGTTTGTGTGTTGTGCGTTTAAGTCGACTCAGAACACGTTGCAGGTGGGTTGATTTGTCTGTTGTGCGTTTAAGTCGACTCAGAACACGTTGCAGGTGGGTTGATTTGTCTGTTGTGCGTTTAAGTCGACTCAGAACACGTTGCAGGTGGGTTGATTTGTCTGTTGTGCGTTTGAGTCGACTCAGAACACGTTGCAGGTGGGTTGATTTGTATGTTGTGCGTTTGAGTCGACTCAGAACACGTTGCAGGTGGGTTGATTTGTCTGTTGTGCGTTTAAGTCGACTCAGAACACGTTGCAGGTGGGTTGATTTGTTTGTTGTGCGTTTAAGTCGACTCAGAACACGTTGCAGGTGGGTTGATTTGTCTGTTGTGCGTTTGAGTCGACTCAGAACACGTTGCAGGTGGGTTGATTTGTATGTTGTGCGTTTGAGTCGACTCAGAACACGTTGCAGGTGGGTTGATTTGTCTGTTGTGCGTTTAAGTCGACTCAGAACACGTTGCAGGTGTGTTGATTTGTCTGTTGTGCGTTTGAGTCAAAGGAGTTGCTCTGCTCTGCTGCTGCCAGAGCGAGGCATCTACCGAGGTGACTTTTGAGTCGACTCAAAAGGCATCTACCTCACCTCACCTCCGCCTGCTACCGCCCCACGCTGCAGGTGCGTCAAGCTTCACACAAGTTGACTAGACTCTTTTCTCTACTGCTTGTTTGGTCCTTGACCTGCGTTTTGCTGCTCTTTTGGGAATATGTCTCAAGGCATCGACCTCTACATCCCTCCCCTCCTCCATCCCCTCCCCCCCCCCTCTCCCTCTCCCCTGCTCTCGAATGGTCCTTCGTATTAATTCAACGGTGTACAACAAGGTATAGGCAGATACAGCAACAAACACTACAGGGTAAGTTCCCTCCTCTCCCCTCCTCTCCCCTGCTCTCTCTCCCTCCACTGCTCCCCTTTTACAGTTCACAGAGAAGGTTACGCAAATGCTGCCACGCAAGTACTCCGACCTGGGGTGAGTTGTCAGTTGCACACACGGGGTGAGTTGTCAGTTGCACACACGGGGTGAGTTGTCATTTGCACACACGGGGTGAGTTGTCAGTTGCACACACGGGGTGAGTTGTCAGTTGCACACAAGGGGGTGAGTTGTCAGTTGCACACACGGGGTGAGTTGTCAGTTGCACACAAGGGGTGAGTTGTCATTTGCACACACGGGGTGAGTTGTCAGTTGCACACACGGGGTGAGTTGTCAGTTGCACACACGGGGTGAGTTGTCTGTTTCACACGGGGTGAGTGAGCTGTGAGTGGCACACAAGGTTTGAGTAGCGTGAGCTGTTTGTTAGCCACAAGGATCTTTTTTATATATATACCATTGGAATCGCATACTGTCGGCACGGCAGTTAGTACCATGTACGGATCTGAATCGTATGCGCCTCACACAGCTGCCCTGCCATAGCCGTCCTCCCATCCCATCAACCCCGCTGGCCACTCTTTCTCTCCCGCTTTGCTGATGCTCCCACGTGCTTCCCTTGCAGCAGATGTGATTTTCCGGTCGACTGATAGTTTCACCGGACTCGCCACTCCTCTCTCCCGAGCTGACTTGACTTTTGAGTCGACTCAAGAGTCAGTTCAGTCGACTGATAATTTCACCGCACTCGCCACTCCTCTCTCCCGCTTTTGCTGCCCCTCTCCCCCCACTTTTTTCCTTCCCTCTGCCCCTGCTGCTGCAGCCGCTCTGGCCTGCGCCCCTTTATGGACAGCTTCGTTAAGGACCAGTTCCTGCCCTGCGTGCGCGACGACTACCGCAACCGCGTCGCTGAGGCCCTCTCCAGTGAGTGATCTGAACTCAAGCCATGGTAGCGCATTGTGGAGTCGGCTCACAAGTCAGAGATGGCACGCTGGAGATTTAATGAATGAGCTATAGTTGTTTTTTTTTTTTTTTTCTACTCAAAAGCGAGCTCTTTAGTGAGCTGATGCCACTTGTAGTTAGCCTTCTGTCCATTCGTCTGTCCAGCTGTCCATCCAAGCTCATCGATCGGCTCTGTAAAATTCTCCCCCCCCTCTCCCCCTCCTCCCCCCTCACCTTTCAACCTGAAATACGGCTACCTGTGCTCGCTCCCTCTGCCCCCCGCATTTCCCCCTTTCCCCATTGTTCCCCCACTCTTAACGTCCCTGCAGGCCCATCTGCCTTCCGCCCACGAGCCAAGACCATCGGCATGTACGAGCCGGCAGCCGAGAAAGGCCGCCCGCTGCTGCAGGGACCGGTGGCGGTGGAGGGGGTGGTGGAGGAGGTGGTGGAGTGGGCCAAGGCCATGCCCGTGTATGCAGGGGAGTTCGTTGCTCTCGTGCACACCCTGCTTGACAGGACTCTGGAGCGCTGCCGGGGTGTTTACACCGAGGTGAGCAGTGTGCTTCCGGGTAGCAGGAAAGGGGGAGGTGGGTGGGGTGGGGTGGGGTTTGTGTGGTGAGGTTTCCGGCCGCTGCTTGCGAGCTGCCTGAAAGGCGCAGAGCGGAATGGGCCGGTGGCGGTGGAGGGGGTGGTGGAGGAGGTGGTGGAGTGGGCCAAGGCCATGCCCGTGTATGCAGGGGAGTTTGTTGCTCTCGTGCGCACCCTGCTTGATAGGACGCTGGAGCGCTGCCGGGGTGTCTACACTGAGGTGAGCGCTTGTGAACTGCCTGATTTTGGGTGTCCAGGGGCTGCTGCAGGGGCTGCTGCAGGGGCTTCTGCAGGGGCTGCTGCAGGGGCTTCTGCAGGGGCTGCTGCAGGGGTCGGTGGCGGTGGAGGGGGTGATGGAGTGGAGGAGCAGGTGGGCTGCTGGACGGAGGCTAGCTGTTGTGGGGAGCTCTGACTGTGAGATTCACCACATGGCGAGGAGCTAATGAGATTGGTGCGGCCGCAAAACCTTTTACCCTATGAGAGAATGAGAGGCGGGGGTTTGAGTGCATGTGGAGTGGAGTGCAGCGAAAGGAAGATGCCAGGGGGATGCGATGCCACGGCGGCGTTTACATTGAGGAGTCACAGAGTCATGTTCCTGGCTCTCTCAGCAGCTATCCAGTCAGTCACCCTACTCCCCCAACCTCCCTGTTCATCCAAACACAAATTCCCTACTCTCTCTGCCCCGGCCTCCCCCAGGCTGTGCTCGGCTCTCTCAGCAGAAACCTAGTCGGCCATCCGGACATCGACAACCTCATGCAGCAGCAGGCCGTCCCCTCCCCATAACCCCAACTTCCCTACTCTCACATCTCCACCACCTCTTTTCCCACAGGCTGTGCTCGGCTCACTCAGCAGCAACCTAGTTGGCCGCCCGGATATCGACAACCTCACGCGTCAGCAGCCATAGTCTTCCTCTTCCCTGTCCCCTCCCCTTACCCCCAACTTTCCTGTTCTTCCGAACCTAACCCCCCAACTCCCCTGCCTGACTCTCCCAGGCTGTTCTCGGCTCGCTTAGCAGCAACCTGGTGGGCCGCCCGGATATCGACAACCTCATGCAGCAGCAGGCGGCAGCAATTCAGTTTCTTCTCCCCCTCCCCCCCTCTTACTCCAGGCTGTGCTCGGATCTCTCAGCAGCAACCTGGTGGGCCGCCCGGACATTGACAACCTCATGCAGCAGCAGGCCGTCCCTTTTCCTCCCTTTTCCATAACCCTACCCTAACTTCCCTACTCCCCCAACTTCACTACTTTCACCCCTCCGTTTCCCCCCCCTCCCCCAGGCTGTCCTCGGCTCGCTCAGCAGCAACCTAGTCGGCCGCCCGGATATCGACAACCTCATGCAGCAGCAGGCGGCAGCCAAGCTGCTAGCGGACGGCGATCTGCCGCCCGCTGAGCTGGAAGTTGCCCGGGAGGACCCGCCTCTGGACAGCGAGGCGTATGAGCTGGACCTTGAGATCTACGGCAAGCTGCTGGCTTTAAGGCCTATTAAGGAGGTACTTACGTGCTTGGGAGGAGAGTGTAGGAGGAGAGTGTTGGGTGTATTGGGTGGAAGGAGGTGGGTAGCTCTGGATAGCGAGCGAGGCGTACGAGCTGGACCTGGAGATCTACGGCAAGCTGCTGGCATTGCGGCCCATCAAGGAGGTGCGTGCGTGAGTGAGTGAGTGTGTGGGTGTGTGAGTGCAAGCATCTGTTGTGCCATAAGTGAAGACGTACCCGCCTTCGGACAGCGAGGCGTACGAGTTGGGCCTCGAGATCTACGGCAAGCTGCTGGCATTGCGGCCCATCAAGGAGGTGTGCTTGTGTGGTGGAGTGTTGGTGTGGAGGAGGTGGGTGGGTACCTCTTGATAGCAAGCAGTGCCTGTACGAGTTGGGCCTCGAGATCTACGGCAAGCTGCTAGTGCTACGCCTGTCAAGGAGGTAGTTACTTTTGTGTAGGGGGGTGTGTGTGGGTGTGTGTGTGGGTGTGTGTGTGGGTGTGTGTGTGGGTGTGTGTGTGGGTGTGGGAGGATCCGATCCGCCATGTTATGTGCGATCGAAGACCCGGCTCTGGTCTGGACAGCAAGGCGCACGAGCTGGACGTCTCTGGTCCCCCTCGCCTTCTTTTCCCCTTCTCCCTGGCGGGAGAGCCTCGTTGTGGGATGCCTCAATGACGTTCCCTTTCTTCCCAGGCTCGGCCTGAGCATCGACCCTCTTGAGAATTCTCAAAGGTGATTTCAACTGGGGGGGAGACCTCGTTGTGGCATTTTCCCAGGCTCGGCCTGAACATCGACCCTCGGTGACATTCTTCCCTCCTCGTTGCCTCGTCTCTCATTCCCCCTCGCACCTTGCCTTTCATCCCCGTTCCTCCCTGGCAGGAGCAACTGATTCTGGACACCGGCAAGCTGGTGCTGCTGGCCGCTCTGATTTACGATACTTCTTTCTCCCCCCTCGTCGCCTTGCCTCTCATTCCCGCTCACACCTTCTCACTCTCCCCTTCCGCCCTGGCAGGAGCAACTGATTCTGGATACGGGCAAGCTGGTGCTGCTGGCCGCTCTGAGTGACACCCTCGAGTATTTCGCTGATGCCATCCTGCGGTGAGTGCTTGGCTATGGTGACTGTATGCACACATGCGCACATGCACGCATGCAGACATGCGCATACCGCGCATGCACACATGCTGGGATGCTTGCTCCTAGTGCAGAGTAAAGAAGGATTCGAACAGCAGCAAGAAGGATGCTTGCTCCTAGTGCATCATTGAAGCATGCATCAGCGGGTGCAGAACCACGCAGCAACACGAGCACAGAAACTGAGCGTGTAATGTAAGCACGAGCAGGGTAAAGTATGTATCGAATTCGACCCGGTTTCCCCCCTAGCCGAACCGAACCGGTTTGGTTCAGGTCGAACTGAAATGGGTGCGGCCCGAGTTCGAGGTTCGAGTCAAACCAGCAACATTTCTGCTCAACTAAGGGGGAAATAAATAAGCATGGAGTCAAGTTGGTTCGACGCGGCTTGGGACTTGTAGGCCAGCCGAACCGAAGGGTGGAATGATGTCACTAACCGCCCTCTTCCCCCAACCCCTGCTTCTTCCCATGCCCAGTCTGGGCCGGCCCAAGGTAGCAGGCAGTGCGAGGAAGAAGACAGCAGCAGCGTCGGCGAGGCAGCAGAGGGCACCGGCGCTGACAGCTTCACTGCAGCAGCTGGCGGAGCGCTACCGCCTGCTGGCCAGGGAGGCGCTTAGAACCCTACGAGTGGAGATGCAGCTGCACTGCATCTTCCACCTGCAGGTACTCCAGTGTACTAGAGTAGAGTAGTAGAGTATGTATACCCTACAGGCTGCAGCAGCTGGCAGAGCGCTACCGCCTGCTGGCCAGGGAGGCTCTGAGGACACTGCGCGTGGAGATGCAGCTGCATTGTATTTTCCACCTGCAGGTGCTGAAAATGAAAAGAATAGCATGCACACGCGCGCACACACACACACACACACACACACACACACACACACACTCGCAGCATATATATATCCCATAAAAACTGCAACAGCTTTCAGAGCGCCAGCTAGGGAGGCACTCAGATCAGAACACTGCGAGTGGAGATGCAGCTGCACTGCATCTTCCACCTGCAGGTGCACTTGTGTATGCGAGTGCATGTTGCCACACTCCCCCGAGGCTGCAGCAGCTGGCAGAGCGCCTCCGCCTGCTGGCTAGAGAGGCCCTGCGCACACTGCGAGTTGAGATGTAGCTGCACTGCATCTTCCACCTGCAGGTGCTGCTGTTGACTCAGAATCACCAAGAGAAAAGCTTGAGAGGGGAGGGGAAGGGGCGAAGAGGAGGTCAGCGTTGTGGGGGGAGGGTTGTGATGGGGAAAATCGTTAGGGAAATGGGGGCGGGGGCAGAAGGGATTCGGGAAGGGTGGGAGGAGGGGAAGAGGGGTCGTTCTTCAGCCTTAGCCAGGGTATCACACCACACACTGGTTGAGGCTGCATTAGCTTAGCTGGCATGGCAGAGTGCCACCGGCTGCTGGGCTGGAAGGGAGGGTCTTAGGTAATCTCCCCACACTGCTCAGGGTATCTCCTTAACTGTAACTTAGTCGATGCCCCTTTCCCCCACCCCTTCCCCTCTCTGTGACCCCTCTCTGCTGCAGTTCATGCCAACCCGTGGGTACGTGAACGAGATCGATGCGGAGGAGCCAGAGGACTTCATCGTCGCTCTCACTGCCCAGGTACCGTTTGAGCAACAGCCTACCTTACAGGTGTTATACACATGTTGCAGCCACGTATTGGCACGATGGCAGGCACCTACTTAGTGCTCTATGGATGCCCACCCACCCGTGGCTACGTGAACGAGATCGATGCGGAGGAGCCTGAAGACTTCGTCGTCGCTCTCACTGCTCAGGTACTGCTCGTGTGGACTTGCATTGCGCGCTTCATTTGGATTTGTCCTATTTAAACGCAAACTGTTCATGTGTAGCTACGGTATTGGATTATGTCATTTACACTGCATGGAGACTTGCTTAACGGCTTGCTTCCAGTGCGAGCCGTGCAGTGCTGTCATTTCAATGAGCAAGTGCACATGAAAGTCGCTCTCAAAGATACTCCCTCTGCACCGTCTTTGAAAGCGACTTCTTTCTTCCTCTCCACCCGCCCCTCTCCCACTTCCATCCGATTTATATTCTATTAGTCAAATGTCAAACCCGAAATCCTAAAGCTTGCACCTAAACTTGGACCCTATGCCCCTCCAACCAGCTCACGCGATGACGGTCTTCATTGCGCCTGCCCTGTACCCTGTAAGGCAATTGTCACCGCCCCTGCCTGCTCCTGCTCACCCTCTTCCCCCTCTCATCCAACCAGCTGACCCGTGTGGACGAGGAAATGACGGTCTTCATCGCGCCTGCCCGCCGCTACTACGTCTTTGGGGGCGTCTGCAGCCTCGCTGCCACGGGCCTTATCCGGGTACGCTTATTGCTGGTATCACGGTATGTGTGTTGGTTGGTGGTGTGCTCATGCCACAAACCATAACGCTCGTGCCACTTGAGTCACACGCTTGTCTTGTCTTTGGGGGCGTCCGCACCCTCGCCGCCACAGGCCTTATCCGGGTATGCTGGTTGCCCATGTGCTTGCTGCTTGTGTGCTCTGTGGCCGTGTGTTCATATGCTCGTATGTTTTTTTCTAGTCAACTCAAATCCAGACGTGTTCTGATGAGCTGCTCACCCTCCTCTCCTTCCGTCCTTTTCAATCAACTGCCTCTTTTTCGGTCTTCCCAGCTGCTGGCCCTCTTTCTCTCTTGCTCCCTCAATTCTCCCCTGCTTCCCTCCTCTCTTAACCATCCCTCAAACCCCCCCATTCCTCCCCCTTTTACCTCACCACCAGGCTCTGGCGGAGCTTCCGGGGATCAACTCGCTGGGAGTGCGGCAGGTGCAGCGCAACTGCATCGCACTGCAGCAGGTAAATCGACTTCCGCACATCGCTCCCATCCCATGCCTGTAGTTGGCATTCCCGTTGTGCATATGACTCCCGTTCATCCCTCATGTTCCTCTTTCTGTTACCCTCAGCCACTTCCCCCCCCCTCCTCTATCCTTTCCTCCTGCGTCTTGTCACTCTCTCCGTTCTCCACCTTCCCACCCTCTCCCCCCCTTCCCTTCATCCCATCCGTTCGCAGCATCATCAGAGGTCGCAGCCCCATCCCCCCTTGCCCCATTTCCACTTGCTTCATCCCCTTTTCCCCATCTGCCCCACCCCCCCTCGCCCCATTCCCTCTGCCCACCGGGCCCTGGCGACGCTGAACGCAAACGGCAGTCAGAGCGTGCAGCTGAGTCTGGACCGCGTGGGGAAATACTATGAGCTGCAGACCTTAACCTAGCCACACACACCTTCCCCCTCTCTCCCCCCATTCCCCCTGTTCGCCAGACCCTGGCCACACTCAACGCAAACGGCAGTCAGAGTGTGCAGCTGAGTCTGGACCGCGTGGGCGAGTACTATGAGCTGCTCAACCGGCCGTATGAGGTGCGTGTTGCTGCTAGTGTTGTGAGGTGCGAGCTGCACTGTAGGACAACACTAGGAGTCCTGCTGCGGCTGTGAGGTGTGCAGCTGAGTTTGGACCGCGTGGGCGAGTACTATGAGCTGCTCAACCGGCCCTAGGAGGTGAGTACTGCACTTTAGGACGACTCAGTATAGTCATCATTTTGCAGCAATAGCTCATTCCTTCCCTGCTCCTAGTCCCCTTCCATTTCTCACTTGAGTCCCTTCGTTGCTGCAAGCCTCTCTCGTACTTGTCTACAGCTGTTTCTTATGATCAACTTTCTCGTTCCGTATTCTCGCTCTCCGGTGTTCTTGGCATACATCAACTATCACAACCACTGCTTCCGTTTCCATTCCCCGCTTTCGCTTTTCTGTATATAATCACGCGATGCACTTTCTCTGTTTCGATTTCTCGCTTTCAGGTGCTTCCGTCATACATAAAGGACCACAACCGCTACCTCTCTTCCTAAACCCCGCTTTTGCTGTTCCATAACGAATGACTCGTACCACGTTCCCTCTCTTTCTTCTCACTCTCGCAGGCCCTGCTGGCATACATCAAGGACCACAACCGCTACTTCTCCGTCGATGAGTGAGTCCCGCATGGTTACCACATGACGTGCCGAGAATGTTTTCTTCTTTGTGTCCTGGTGCCCTCGTGTCGGTCGGGCAGCCTAGCCCTTTCCCAGGGTGGCCACGCTTTTTTTTCCCTCTTGAATCTCTGCTGCTGCAACCTCAACTGTGTTATTATGCTGCTTGTGTCACTGCCAGGTACCTTACCCTGATCAAGGTGCGAGTGCCGGGAAGACATGTACCAAAGGATGCAACGGAAACGATCAAGGAGCTTCTGCAAGAGGGCTGAGGTAACATTGCCCGTGACTGTGTTGAAACCTTGCTTCGGCCAGGATATCCCTAACCAAGGACTAAGACGGACAATTCTGTTTCGGAAACTTCATCGCGTGATGTCTGACGCTTTGGAGATTCAATTAGCGCCTTGATTTGCACTAAAACGAGTGCATACGAGGTAATGTGTTTATTCCGATTTGCAAGCTTTAATCTAAAAATATATTCTTTCCGCCAGATGCACATTCGTTTTGTTGGAATGGACGGTCGCTCTTATAGAGAAGGCGTTCCGTAGAAGATGACATGCCAGCACGACAAACGCCGTGATTTTCTTTCGACGCGCCCCTGACATCGGAAGTTCCCGCGCGATGATTTCCATGCCAAACATCGCGCACGAAACACGTTTCGCTTCCAGCAGCACGTTGCTTCCCCGAATGCTGCCCGTTCAGTTGTTGCCAAGATACATTCTGTTGCCTTTCTCTATGTTCCCTATACGGGTGTAATGACCCCAATATTTTGAACCTCGGTATTATAGCCTGGGCACTACAACTGTTTTTGCGCAAACTTTTGGCAGCTCTGAGAAATTGATGGGGTTTTCGGGGAAAATCTGAGAAATATAGGGGTTTTCAGGGAGACTCGTTTCAAAATCTACGAGAGCCAGGGAAAGCCGGATTCGTGGAGCTCGCTCATTCCCCAAGGCTGGTCTTTCAACCAGCAAACCAAAAGGTGTGCTTTTTTCATGGGTTTGCGGGAAGCATGTTTTTGTTGATTCGTGTCTTCAAGCACGTGCAAGAGCATTCACTCGAGGTCCCTCGCGGTTCGCGACAATACCAGTTTTGAGTCGTGCCTGAGCGTCCCGTCGTCTCGTGCGATAACACCAGCAGAAGCTGCTTCCTCCTCTGTCCACGATCTTGTCGCGGAGAGCTCGCGAGGCTCGCACGAAAGAGATCTTGCGAAGAAGGGAAATGCGTAAATGGAATCTGAGCAAGAGGATCGAATTTACGAGACGTCGCGAGGTGGTATGTTCGTGACGACAGTGTATGCAATCGCGTCGCACTGAATTCATGACGAGAGACACGGACATCCAGATTCTTTTCTTTCAGTTAGAGACATTCAGTCAGCTTGACAATGTTATCTAGATGCTAGCTCGCAACTTGTGAAGGTTCATCTGGTCCGGTAGACGTCTTTACCTCGCACAGTCTGGTTGTTGCAAACACAGATTCTGGTTACAGCTTCTAGATTCAATTCGCCGCCAACGGCTCGTGAACACCCTTCGCCTAACAGTCCTTAAAGTAATCAGCACAGCACCTGCCTCGTTCCATAGAAACCGTGTATCCTTGAGACTTGTTTCGTACGGCGGTCGATCCGAGTGCATCTTTCCCCTACGGTCCATTCTTAACCCACTCCACATAGCACCATATACTCATTCATTATTTAGTACTCCAAAGCCTACTGCCTTTACCCGATTTCTACGACCCGGTTCCTATCCTCCGCGCCCTTGTATTTCCCTCTCCCCACCACCGCCATCACGGGCGCGCATCTCCTCCCCCGTTTCCTCGTCCGCCAACCCCCCAGCCCCCTCTGCAACCCTCTGCTTCCGCCCGCCCACGGTTCCCCTTCCCCCCCGATTTCCGCCTCCCCGCCCTACCTTCCCTCTTTTCCCGCATCTGCGGAAGCCGTCACGCTGGAGGCGGAGAGGTTGATCGGGGGGGAGGGGGAAGCGGGGGAAGGGTTAATAGGGAGGGGTAAGGGGGAACCGGGGGAAGGAGCGGGGGCTTATGCGGAAGTTGCTGGCGGCGAGGAAGGGGGGAATGGGAAAAAAGAAAGGGAAAGGTCGGGGGACGGTATGGATGGAGGCCGCGGGAGCGGGGAGCGGGAGCCCTTGACGGGAGGGGGAAACGGGGAAGATGGGGGAGAGGGGGAAGAGGGAGTGGCGGAGGCTGTAAGGGGAGGGGCGCAAGCGAGCTATCTAAATATTGGGGTTTCCAAGGAAAGCGTTAGCGTGAGTGAGAGCAGTGGGGTGGAGAGAGAAAAGAGGGACGAGATGAGCCCGATGGAAGGAGGGATGGGGCAAGCAGGCACGGAAGCAGCAGCAGCAGCTGCTACTGATGTTGCTGCAGAAAGGGCAGGAGAAGGGGCAGGAGAAGGGGCAGGAGAATTGGGTAAAGGAGTGAGTGTGGAAGAAGCACCAGCAGCAGCAGCAGCAGCAGAGGGAGCAGGAGCAGCAGGATTAGCACCAGCCGGAGCAATTGCAGGAGCGAGAGGAACAACAACAGCGGATGGAGGGCGCACGTGGGGCGGCGGAATCCGCGCCAACACAACCCCTTACTGGCGCTTCGTGCAGATCCTCTCCGCGGTGGGCGCGGGCGTGATATTCATCCCCGCGCTCGTCTTCACAGTCACTATATTCATCCGCAGCCTCTTCCTGCAGGCCTGGTACCACCTCTGCTACTCTGGCGCCATGCGCCGGCGAAATCGGCGAGTGGTAACCCCATCGTGCCTGTCCGTGCTGCCTTCGTCGTGCATGCGAGGGACTCTGGATCTGGAGCAGCGATTGGAGGTGGTGTCGTGGGAGGGCGGGCGGGTGGTGACGTGGCGCAAGTCGGACGAGGCGGCGAGAGGAAGTGGTGATGGTGATGGTGGTGATGCTGGTGTGAGTGCTGGAAGTTCGAGCAGCGAACCGCCGCGAGGAGAGAAGGCGAGCGAGGGCGGGGAAGGAGAGGTTCGGATCGACGTGGGCGGAGGCTCGGGAGCCGAACCCGCGGGAGGACGCGGAAGCGGCAGAGGAGGCGCGGGTGCGGGCGGAGCAGGCGGGGAGGAGGGCGGGGGGGACAACACAGTAGCGGGGATAGAGATCCGGCCCGCGTCCCCCATGGCGAGCGTGGCGGAGAACAGCTACCAGCGCGGCATCCCGCGGCGGCTGTCACTGAGCTTCGTGCACGCGTGGACGTTCACGTACACGCACGTGGTGAACCGCACGGCTGTGGTGAACGCAGACACGCTGCTGGAGCTCGTGAGGCGAAGACCTGCTGGCACGCCGCTCATTACCATCAGCAACCACATGTCCACGTGCGTGGGGTGTGAGCTTTTGGGGTGGGGATGAATGGGGTCGCATGGGGATGCATGGGTCGCATGGGGATGCATGGGTCGCATGGGGATGCATGGGTCGCATTGGAACGTATGGGGTGGCACGGGCTGACCTCCCTCTGTCCCTGAGCTTCGTGCACGCGTGGACGTTCACGTACACGCACGTGGTGAACCGCACAGCTGTGGTGAACGCAGACACGCTGCTGGAGCTCGTGAGGCGGAGACCTAAAGGCACGCCGCTCATTACCATCAGCAACCACATGTCCACGTGCGCGCAGTGTTGGGGTGTGGGGTCGCATGGGGACGCATGGGGTCGCATGGGGACGCATGGGGTCGCGTGGGGTTGCGTGGGGTCCCATGGGGACACGTGGGGTCGCGTGGGGCTGTGTCGGATCGCGTGGTGCCGCATCCATCCCTTTGAGCTTCGTGCACGCGTGGACGTTCACGCAGTGGCGCCTGCACTTGTGGGACCCTTAGACTCTCTTCCCGTCTACCACTGTGCCCATCTTTCCCCTTCCCCTCTTTCTCCACCAGTCTCCATGACCCCCTTCTGTGACTTTTGAGGCGCTGCAAAAATTCTGGTGGAGAGACGACTTATGAGGCACCGCAAAAAAAACCTCTCCACCAGTCTCCATGACCCCCTTCTGTGGATTCAGTGGCGCCTTCGCTTCTTGAAACCAAACTTTCCGCTCATCGCTTGTGTCCCACTTGTGTTACCCCTCCATCCCACTTTCTCTTATCTCCCCATCCCCTTGTCTGCGCTTCTTCCTCCCTCTCTCTTCTTCCTCCCGTCCATATGCTCATCTGTCGTAACCCCCTCCTCGCACTCCCCCTCTCTTCCCCTCTTCCCCCCTCCACCAGTCTCGACCACCCGCTGCTGTGGAACCAGTGGCGCCTGCGCTTCTCCGATCCAAGTCTCTCGTTCGCATCTCCCATCTTCCATCGCCCCTCCACTTCCCCTCTCTCTCCACCAGTCTCGACCACCCGCTGCTGTGGAACCAGTGGCGCCTGCGCTTCTCAAATCCGCATCTGTGCCGATGGACGCTCAAGGCGCGCGACATCGGTCCATTGGCTGGCCCCACCCCCTTGCTTCTCCCTCTTTTCCCTGTCCCCCCCCTCGCCCTACCAGCCTCGACGACCCTCTCCTGTGGAACCAGTGGCGCTGGCGCTTCTCCAGCCCAAGGCCCTCCTCTCATCGCGTGTGCCTTTTGAGTCGACTCAAAAGTCACCTTGCTGGCGCTTCTCCAGCCCAAGGCCCTCCTCTCATCGCGTGTGCCTTTTGAGTCGACTCAAAAGTCACCTTGCTGGCGCTTCTCCAGCCCAAGACCCTCCTCTCACCGCGTGTGCCCGTTGTTTTTTACCCTCTCCATCCCACTCCCCCTTATCATCCCACCAGTCTCGACGACCCGCTCCTCTGGAACCAGTGGCGGCTGCGCTTCTCCTGTCCGCACAAGTGCCGCTGGACGCTCACAGCAAGGGACGTCTATTCATTGGACCCACCCCCTTGCTTCTCCCCCTCACCCCCTCCCCCCACCAGTCTGAACGATCCCCTCCTCTGGAACCAGTGGCGCCTGCGCTTCTCCGTCCTGACTGAGACTCTCCTCTCATGCCCTATCTGTCTTACCCCCTCCATCTCGCTTCCCTTATTCACCTCCCCTCTTCCCCACCAGTCTCGACGACCCTCTTCTCTGGAACCAGTGGCGGCTGCGCTTCTCCGATCCGCACAAGTGCCGCTGGACGCTCACAGCGCGCGACATCTGCTTCACACACCCCTTCACTGCCTACCTCTTCCGCCTGGGTGAGTGATGTGATGTGACAAGGACCGGTGAGCACTCATGCAGCGTCAAGCGCACTCAGCCTTCCCGATCAGGTGACAGTGCCAGGGCCCTCTCAAAACTGATGGACGCTCACAGCGCGCGACATCTGCTTCACACACCCCTTCACCGCCTACCTCTTCCTCCTCGGTGAGTGCAGCAAGTCCCTTCCCCCTTCCCACTCCCCATCCCCCTCTCCTCCTCGTGTCCTTATTGCCTCCTCATGTTCTTATTGACTCCTCATGTTCTTATTGACTCCTCATGTTCTTATCGCCTCCTCATGTTCGTTCCCTGCTCATTGTCTTCTCTCCTTCCCCCCCTCCCCTCCTCTCCTCCTCCCCTGAGGTTCCTGTTCGTTCCGTGCCCACACTCCACCTCCCCAACCCCACCTCCGCACCCCCCTAACATTGAGGTGTATTTTGAGGCGCCTCAAAATAACCTTTGTTGCCACCAGCCAAGTGCATTTCCATCGACCACTACGAGAGTATCTACCAGCCGGGCATGACGGAATCCCAAAGAGCCACGTGTTCCCTGCAACCTCACACTCATCCCTTCACTCATCCTCCGCCCTCTTCTAGTTCCCTCCCCTTCCCCACTACCCCGTGCCACCAGCCAAGTGCATTTCCATCGACCGCTACGGGAGTGTCTACCAGCCGGGCATGACGGAAGCGCTAGCAGCCTTGTGCTCCTCTCTAGCCCCCGTTTTGAGGCGCCTCAAGACTAGCCTTGTGCTCCTCTCTAGTGAGGTGACTTTTGAGTCGACTCAATAGCAGCCTTGTGCTCCTCTCGAGCTCACATTTCAAACTCCCTCCATTTTCTCCCCCTCTTCCCCCCGCCCCCTCGCCATCCACCTTTCCCCCATTATCACCCCCGTATCCCCCGTCCCCCGTGCCACCAGCCAAGTGCATCCCCATCGACCGCTATTGGTGCATCTACCAGCCAGGCGCATTTTGAGGCGCCTCAAAATGCACCTCAGTACACGTGCATCCTTATCGACCGCTATGGGTGCATCTACCAGCCGGGCATGGCGGAGGCAGGGTCAAAGTTGCACATGTGTTCCCTATATGCTCACACTCCGTGTCTCCACCCATCCCCACCCTCCCCCCTCTTCCCTCTCTCATTCTCACCCCGCTCCCACTACCCCGTGCCACCAGCCAAGTGCATCCCCATCGACCGCTATGGTGGCATCTACCGTTTGGGCATGGCAGAGGGGCGAGGAGCCTCTGTCCCATTCCACCTCACAATCCACCCCCCTCCTCCCCCCCTTCCCTCCCTCCCTTGGCGCCACCAGCCAAGTGCATCCCCATCGACCGCTACGGAGGCATCTACCAGCCTGGCATGACGGAGGCAGTTCAGCGGCTGAGCGCGGGCGGATGGGTGAGTGTTGTTGGGGGAAGGGGAGCAGGTGAAGGGGGAAAAGAGGAAGTGGAAGGAGGCTCTGAATCTACCAGCCCAGCATGACGGAGGCAGTTCAGCGGCTGAGCGCGGGCGGATGGGTGAGTGCAGCGTGGGTGGGGGGATCCGTGGGAGGGGGGGGAGAGGATGTGGGTGCGTCTAGAGTTGGGGGGGCATTTACCAGCCCAGCATGACGGAGGCCGTTCAGGCGGATGGGCGAGTGCGGGCGGATGGGTGAGTGCGGGCGGATGGGCGAGTGCGGGCGGATGGGCGAGTGCGGGCGGATGGGTGAGTGCGGGCGGATGGGCGAGTGCGGGCGGATGGGTGAGTGCGGGCGGATGGGTGAGTGCGGGCGGATGGGCTTCTGAGAATTCCCCAAAGCACCCCTCTCCCACCAGAAACGTGTCTTGCATTAGCAAGCACGTCCTGTTAACGCACATACCACCCACCCTCCCCCACTCATCCTCTCGCTCCCTCCTCAACTCCTTCTCCCCTCCCCATAAAACACAGCCCTCGCCCATAAAACTTCCAATTGCAAACCCAACCCCCTGGCCCTCCCCAATCCCCCTGCCCACGGCAGCTGCACATCTTCCCAGAGGGGCGCATCACCCAGGAGCACGTGGCCCTGGCACGACTCGGTTCCTTTCCAACCCCATTCTCCTCCACCGCATTCTACCGCATTCCACCCCTCCCCAGCTGCACATCTTCCCAGAGGGGCGCATCACCCAGGAGCATGTGGCCCTGGCGCGCCTCAGTTTGTGGCTTCATAACCTCCTTCCTGATACCCGCTTCCAACCCCATTCCACCCCATTCCACCCCAATCCACCCCACTCCACCTAACTCCACCACAGCTGCACATCTTCCCAGAGGGCCGCATCACCCGGGAGCACGTGGCATTGGCACGCCTCAAGTGTTTCCTTCAGCTTTTTCCAAATACCTCCCACCCATCCCACCCCACCGAATTCCACCGCATTCCACCCCTCTCCAGCTGCACATCTTCCCAGAGGGCCGTATCACTCAGGAGCACGTGGCATTGGCGCGCCTCAAGTGGGGGCTGGCGTCGGTCATCAACCGCTGCACCTCCCCTGTCCCCCCTATCATCCTCTGTGTGGCACACAGCGGCTTTGAGAATGTGAGTGATGTGTGTATGCAGCAGCTTCGATAGTATGCCTGCATGTCACCTGCATGCATGTCACTTGAATGTCTTGCTGCATCCGCACGCCTCAAGTGGGGGCTGCCGTCGGTCATCGACCGCTGCACCTCCCTCGTACCGCCCATCATCCTCTGTGTGGCACACAGCGGCTTTGAGAATGTGAGTGATGTGTGTATGCAGCAGCTTCGATAGTATGCCTGCATGTCACCTGCATGCATGTCACTTGAATGTCTTGCTGCATCCGCACGCCTCAAGTGGGGGCTGCCGTCGGTCATCGACCGCTGCACCTCCCTGGTACCGCCCATCATCCTCTGTGTGGCACACAGCGGCTTTGAGAATGTGAGTGGCTGCGGGGGGGGTGTGCCTTGTGTTGCTGCATCCATTTGCCTCAAGTGGGGGCTGGCGTCGGTCATCGACCGCTGCACGTCCCCCGTCCCCCCCATCATTCTCTGCATGGCACACAGCGGCTTTGAGAATGTACATGCCATGTGCCTGCCTGCATGCACCCGCCATATGCCGTGGGTTTATGTTCCTCCGTGCCTGCATGTGCCTGCATGTGCCTGTATGTGCCTGCATGTGCCTGCATGTGCCTGCATGTGCCTGTATGTGCCTGTATGTGCCTGCATGTGCCTGCATGTGCCTGCATGTGCCTGCATGTGCCTGCATGTGTCTGCATGTGCCTGCATGTGCCTGTATGTGCCTGTATGTGCCTGTATGTGCCTGCATGTGCCTGTATGTGCCTGCACGTGCCTGTATGTGCCTGTATGTGCCTGCATGTGCCTGTATGTGCCTGTATGTGCCTGCATGTGCCTGTATGTGCCTGCATGTGCCTGTATGTGCCTGTATGTGCCTGCATGTGCCTGTATGTGCCTGTATGTGCCTGTATGTGCCTGCATGTGCCTGTATGTGCCTGTATGTGCCTGCATGTGCCTGTATGTGCCTGTATGTGCCTGCATGTGCCTGTATGTGCCTGCATGTGCCTGTATGTGCCTGTATGTGCCTGTATGTGCCTGCATGTGCCTGTATGTGCCTGTATGTGCCTGCATGTGCCTGTATGTGCCTGTATGTGCCTGCATGTGCCTGTATGTGCCTGTATGTGCCTGTATGTGCCTGCATGTGCCTGTATGTGCCTGTATGTGCCTGTATGTGCCTGCATGTGCCTGTATGTGCCTGTATGTGCCTGCATGTGCCTGTATCTGCCTGTATGTGCCTGTATGTGCCTGCATGTGCCTGTATGTGCCTGTATGTGCCTGCATGTGCCTGCATGTGCCTGCATGTGCCTGCATGTGCCTGTATGTGCCTGTATGTGCCTGTATGTGCCTGCATGTGCCTGTATGTGCCTGCATGTGCCTGTATGTGCCTGTATGTGCCTGTATGTGCCTGTATGTGCCTGTATGTGCCTATATGTGCCTGTATGTGCCTGTATGTGCCTGTATGTGCCTGCATGTGCCTGCATGTGCCTGCATGTGCCTGTATGTGCCTGTATGTGCCTGCATGTGCCTGTATGTGCCTGCATGTGCCTGTATGTGCCTGTATGTGCCTGCATGTGCCTGCATGTGCCTGTATGTGCCTGCATGTGCCTGTATGTGCCTGCATGTGCCTGTATGTGCCTGCATGTGCCTGTATGTGCCTGCATGTGCCTGTATGTGCCTGTATGTGCCTGTATGTGCCTGCATGTGCCTGCATGTGCCTGCATGTGCCTGTATGTGCCTGTATGTGCCTGCATGTGCCTGTATGTGCCTGTATGTGCCTGCATGTGCCTGTATGTGCCTGCATGTGCCTGTATGTGCCTGTATGTGCCTGTATGTGCCTGTATGTGCCTGTATGTGCCTGTATGTGCCTGTATGTGCCTGCATGTGCCTGTATGTGCCTGTATGTGCCTGTATGTGCCTGTATGTGCCTGCATGTGCCTGTATGTGCCTGCATGTGCCTGCATGTGCCTGTATGTGCCTGTATGTGCCTGCATGTGCCTGCATGTGCCTGCATGTGCCTGTGCCTGGATGTGCCTGCATGTGCCTGCATGTGCCTGCATGTGCCTGCATGTGCCTGCATGTGCCTGTATGTGCCTGTATGTGCCTGCATGTGCCTGTATGTGCCTGCATGTGCCTGCATGTGCCTGTATGTGCCTGTATGTGCCTGCATGTGCCTGCATGTGCCTGTATGTGCCTGTATGTGCCTGTATGTGCCTGCATGTGCCTGCATGTGCCTGCATGTGCCTGCATGTGCCTGTATGTGCCTGTATGTGCCTGTATGTGCCTGCATGTGCCTGTATGTGCCTGTATGTGCCTGGATGTGCCTGCATGTGCCTGTATGTGCCTGTATGTGCCTGCATGTGCCTGCATGTGCCTGTATGTGCCTGTATGTGCCTGCATGTGCCTGTATGTGCCTGTATGTGCCTGTATGTGCCTGCATGTGCCTGCATGTGCCTGTATGTGCCTGTATGTGCCTGCATGTGCCTGTATGTGCCTGTATGTGCCTGCATGTGCCTGCATGTGCCTGTATGTGCCTGTATGTGCCTGCATGTGCCTGTATGTGCCTGTATGTGCCTGTATGTGCCTGCATGTGCCTGTATGTGCCTGTATGTGCCTGTATGTGCCTGCATGTGCCTGTATGTGCCTGTATGTGCCTGCATGTGCCTGCATGTGCCTGTATGTGCCTGTATGTGCCCGCATGTGCCTGTATGTGCCTGTATGTGCCTGCATGTGCCTGCATGTGCCTGTATGTGCCTGCATGTGCCTGTATGTGCCTGCATGTGCCTGTATGTGCCTGTATGTGCCTGTATGTGCCTGTATGTGCCTGTATGTGCCTGTATGTGCCTGTATGTGCCTGTATGTGCCTGTATGTGCCTGCATGTGCCTGCATGTGCCTGCATGTGCCTGCATGTGCCTGTATGTGCCTGTATGTGCCTGTATGTGCCTGCATGTGCCTGTATGTGCCTGCATGTGCCTGTATGTGCCTGTATGTGCCTGCATGTGCCTGTATGTGCCTGCATGTGCCTGCATGTGCCTGTATGTGCCTGCATGTGCCTGTATGTGCCTGCATGTGCCTGTATGTGCCTGCATGTGCCTGTATGTGCCTGCATGTGCCTGTATGTGCCTGTATGTGCCTGTATGTGCCTGCATGTGCCTGCATGTGCCTGCATGTGCCTGTATGTGCCTGCATGTGCCTGCATGTGCCTGCATGTGCCTGCATGTGCCTGCATGTGCCTGGATGTGCCTGTATGTGCCTGTATGTGCCTGTATGTGCCTGTATGTGCCTGTATGTGCCTGTATGTGCCTGTATGTGCCTGTATGTGCCTGTATGTGCCTGTATGTGCCTGTATGTGCCTGTATGTGCCTGCATGTGCCTGTATGTGCCTGCATGTGCCTGCATGTGCCTGTATGTGCCTGTATGTGCCTGCATGTGCCTGCATGTGCCTGCATGTGCCTGCATGTGCCTGTATGTGCCTGTATGTGCCTGTATGTGCCTGCATGTGCCTGCATGTGCCTGCATGTGCCTGCATGTGCCTGTATGTGCCTGAATGTGCCTGCATGTGCCTGTATGTGCCTGCATGTGCCTGCATGTGCCTGTATGTGCCTGCATGTGCCTGCATGTGCCTGTATGTGCCTGTATGTGCCTGTATGTGCCTGCATGTGCCTGCATGTGCCTGCATGTGCCTGCATGTGCCTGTATGTGCCTGTATGTGCCTGTATGTGCCTGCATGTGCCTGTATGTGCCTGCATGTGCCTGTATGTGCCTGCATGTGCCTGTATGTGCCTGCATGTGCCTGTATGTGCCTGCATGTGCCTGTATGTGCCTGTATGTGCCTGCATGTGCCTGCATGTGCCTGCATGTGCCTGTATGTGCCTGTATGTGCCTGCATGTGCCTGTATGTGCCTGTATGTGCCTGCATGTGCCTGTATGTGCCTGCATGTGCCTGTATGTGCCTGTATGTGCCTGTATGTGCCTGCATGTGCCTGTATGTGCCAGTATGTGCCTGCATGTGCCTGTATGTGCCTGTATGTGCCTGCATGTGCCTGCATGTGCCTGCATGTGCCTGTATGTGCCTGTATGTGCCTGCATGTGCCTGTATGTGCCTGTATGTGCCTGCATGTGCCTGTATGTGCCTGTATGTGCCTGTATGTGCCTGCATGTGCCTGTATGTGCCTGTATGTGCCTGCATGTGCCTGTATGTGCCTGTATGTGCCTGCATGTGCCTGTATGTGCCTGCATGTGCCTGTATGTGCCTGTATGTGCCTGTATGTGCCTGCATGTGCCTGTATGTGCCTGTATGTGCCTGCATGTGCCTGTATGTGCCTGTATGTGCCTGTATGTGCCTGCATGTGCCTGCATGTGCCTGTATGTGCCTGTATGTGCCTGCATGTGCCTGTATGTGCCTGTATGTGCCTGCATGTGCCTGTATGTGCCTGTATGTGCCTGTATGTGCCTGCATGTGCCTGTATGTGCCTGTATGTGCCTGTATGTGCCTGCATGTGCCTGTATGTGCCTGTATGTGCCTGCATGTGCCTGCATGTGCCTGTATGTGCCTGTATGTGCCTGCATGTGCCTGTATGTGCCTGTATGTGCCTGCATGTGCCTGTATGTGCCTGTATGTGCCTGTATGTGCCTGCATGTGCCTGTATGTGCCTGCATGTGCCTGTATGTGCCTGTATGTGCCTGTATGTGCCTGCATGTGCCTGTATGTGCCTGTATGTGCCTGTATGTGCCTGTATGTGCCTGTATGTGCCTGTATGTGCCTGCATGTGCCTGCATGTGCCTGTATGTGCCTGTATGTGCCTGCATGTGCCTGTATGTGCCTGTATGTGCCTGCATGTGCCTGTATGTGCCTGTATGTGCCTGCATGTGCCTGTATGTGCCTGCATGTGCCTGTATGTGCCTGTATGTACCTGCATGTGCCTGTATGTGCCTGTATGTGCCTGTATGTGCCTGTATGTGCCTGCATGTGCCTGCATGTGCCTGTATGTGCCTGTATGTGCCTGCATGTGCCTGTATGTGCCTGTATGTGCCTGCATGTGCCTGTATGTGCCTGTATGTGCCTTTATGTGCCTGTATGTGCCTGCATGTGCCTGTATGTGCCTGTATGTGCCTGCATGTGCCTGTATGTGCCTGTATGTGCCTGCATGTGCCTGTATGTGCCTGCATGTGCCTGTATGTGCCTGTATGTGCCTGTATGTGCCTGCATGTGCCTGTATGTGCCTGTATGTGCCTGCATGTGCCTGTATGTGCCTGTATGTGCCTGTATGTGCCTGCATGTGCCTGCATGTGCCTGTATGTGCCTGTATGTGCCTGCATGTGCCTGTATGTGCCTGTATGTGCCTGCATGTGCCTGGATGTGCCTGTATGTGCCTGTATGTGCCTGCATGTGCCTGGATGTGCCTTGCCTGCATGTGCCTGTATGTGCCTGTATGTGCCTGCATGTGCCTGCATGTGCCTGTATGTGCCTGTATGTGCCTGCATGTGCCTGTATGTGCCTGTATGTGCCTGCATGTGCCTGTATGTGCCTGTATGTGCCTGTATGTGCCTGCATGTGCCTGTATGTGCCTGCATGTGCCTGTATGTGCCTGTATGTGCCTGTATGTGCCTGCATGTGCCTGCATGTGCCTGTATGTGCCTGTATGTGCCTGCATGTGCCTGTATGTGCCTGTATGTGCCTGCATGTGCCTGTATGTGCCTGTATGTGCCTGTATGTGCCTGCATGTGCCTGTATGTGCCTGTATGTGCCTGGATGTGCCTGCATGTGCCTGTATGTGCCTGTATGTGCCTGCATGTGCCTGCATGTGCCTGTATGTGCCTGTATGTGCCTGCATGTGCCTGTATGTGCCTGTATGTGCCTGTATGTGCCTGCATGTGCCTGCATGTGCCTGTATGTGCCTGTATGTGCCTGCATGTGCCTGTATGTGCCTGCATGTGCCTGTATGTGCCTGTATGTGCCTGTATGTGCCTGCATGTGCCTGTATGTGCCTGTATGTGCCTGTATGTGCCTGCATGTGCCTGCATGTGCCTGTATGTGCCTGTATGTGCCTGCATGTGCCTGTATGTGCCTGTATGTGCCTGCATGTGCCTGTATGTGCCTGTATGTGCCTGCATGTGCCTGTATGTGCCTGTATGTGCCTGGATGTGCCTGCATGTGCCTGTATGTGCCTGTATGTGCCTGCATGTGCCTGCATGTGCCTGTATGTGCCTGTATGTGCCTGCATGTGCCTGTATGTGCCTGTATGTGCCTGTATGTGCCTGCATGTGCCTGCATGTGCCTGTATGTGCCTGTATGTGCCTGCATGTGCCTGTATGTGCCTGTATGTGCCTGCATGTGCCTGTATGTGCCTGTATGTGCCTGTATGTGCCTGCATGTGCCTGTATGTGCCTGTATTTGCCTGTATGTGCCTGCATGTGCCTGTATGTGCCTGTATGTGCCTGTATGTGCCTGCATGTGCCTGTATGTGCCTGTATGTGCCTGCATGTGCCTGTATGTGCCTGTATGTGCCTGTATGTGCCCGCATGTGCCCTTCCGCTTCCACACACCCTCAACCCCTCTCTCAATTCCCTCTCTCAATTCCCTCTCTCACTCCCTCACTCTCTCTCCTCTGTGAGGGCAGCGCATAGCAGTGATGGTGGGGGAGCGTTTTCTCTTCCACACACTTACACACCCTCTCGCACTCCCTCTTTCACTCCCTCACTCGCTCCCTCACTTGCTCTCTCCTCTCTCCCAGGTCATGCCTGAGCCGCGTGCATTCGGGCACAGGGCCATAGCGCCGCTGTGGGGGCAGCGCATAGCAGTGGTGGTGGGGGAGCCATTCCAATTCAACATGCCGGCCCTCAGAGCTGCAGCAGCCCACGCTGCCGACCACCCAGACGACTCAACCTTTGGGGTCGAACCCGCTCCGCCTGCTGCCGTTCCCCCCACTGCTGCTGCTGCTACTGCTGGTTCCGATTCTGCTGCTGCTGCTGCTGCTTCTGCTCCCACTGCTGCTGGTTCTGATTCCACTGCTGCTCCTGCTGGTTCTGCTGATGCTGTTGCTGCTCCGAACGCTCCTGCTGCGGCGGCAGCAGGCAGGGAAGCAACGGTGGTGGAAGTTGGGGGGGGCAGCAGTGCAGTGAAGGACGAGGCAACGAGGAGGCTGTATGCGTTCATCACAGGGGAGGTGCGGCACAGGCTGCAGGGTGCAGTTGATGAGGCACACAAACGACAGGCAGACGGGTGCTGCTGACTGCTGTTGTTCCTAACACTCCTCCTGATGCTGCTGTTGCTGGCTCCTGCTGCTGCAGCAAGGGGGGATGCGTGGTGGAAGTGGCAGGCAGGCAGCAGTGCATTTAAGGAACGGGGAGGCTGTATGCGCGCATCACAGGTGGGGTGCGGCAGCTGCCGCAGGGAGCAGTGGATGAAGCACACAGGCGCCAGGCAGACGGGTGCTGCTGATAAGTGCTGCTCATGGGTGTATGCAAGTATGCATGCTGACTTTTGCATGCAGCAATCGCTTCTGCTGCTTTTCACAGGGGAGGTGCGGCACAGGCTGCAGGCAGCAGGAAATGAAGCACACCCGGTGGTAGGTACATGGGTGCTGCTGATGCTGTTGCTGCTGCTGCTGACTTCTGCTCGTGAGTGCTGCTGCTGGGCGCTGCTCCTGGGTGCAAGGGGAGGTGCGGCACAGGCTGCAGGCTGTAGCAAATGAAGCACACCAAGTGGTAGGCAGATGGGTGCTGCTGACTGCTGCTCGCGTTTGCATACATGCTCACAAGTTCATACCTACTGGTATCCGCCTAATGGCACAACATCATGCACCACACAAGTGAGCGGTTTTTTTTCCTCGTACCGTAGGACTTTCAAAGGCTTCAAATTTGAGCCGATATGAAACTTCAAAAGACTTTCAACCGCATGATGCATGTGTTTTTTTCGCACTGCATGATACTCCAATTTTGTACATGCTACCGTACTTCCTGACGATTGATTACGTGCTGTGTAATTGCTTGTTTCCTTATTTTATGTTTGTGTTGATAGAATGACCATGCACTAGTCCGGGCAGCTTGATCTCATGCTAAATTAATATACATATGAGATTTGTCGACACCCATACCACACTTGCGTTTTGAGGAAAAGCATGAAAGGTATACCTTATCAATCAAGCCTTCACACTATACACAAAATACAAAGTTGCACGCACTGCACCTACCTACGAGACATACCAGTGCCGTACCACATGCTGCTGCCGACGTAGCACAAATGCAGGATACCGGTAAGTTTTCTCTACCCCTCAAGTACTATATGAGTCTTCCATGCGTCCAGTATTTGCTCCAAGGTGAGTCGGTCCTCCCACTCAGTCAGAATGGCCCTGCGCACCACCCCCACCAGAAATCTCGCTTGCTCCTCCGTCCACTGCCCCTCCAAGCTTTTATCAACAACCTCGCTGTAATCCGTGAAGTCGGGATCGGTGAGCTTCTCCCTCGGCTCTTGAAAGGACTCGTCTAACGCGGGGTAGCCGGTCACGAGCTCTAGTAGGAAGATTCCGAACGCGAACGTGTCGCAGTGTGCTGATAGGTATCCTGAGGGGGAGAAGGAGGAGAAGGGGGAGAAGGGGGAGAAGGGGGAGAAGGGGGAGAAGGGGGACAAGAGAGTTGGGTGATGAAAGGACTCGTCCAGCGCGGGGCATCCGGTCACGAGCTCGAGAAGGAACACCCCGAAAGCGAACGTGCCGCAGTGCGCGGATACATATCCTGAGGGGGAGAAAGGGAAGAAGAGCAGTCGTATAAATGAAAGGAGTCGACTAGTGCGGGGTATCCAGTCACGAGCTCTAGAAGGAAGATTCCGAACGCGTACGTGTCGCAGTGTGCAGACAGGTATCCTGCATGGGGAGAAACGGGAGCAGAGCAGTTGGCTGATTAACGGACTCGTCTAACGCGGTGTATCTGGTCATGAGCTCTAGCAGGAAGACCCTGAAGGCGGAGTCTTTTAAATGGGTGTGCAGATAGGTATCCTGCACCTGCAGAGGGAGGAGGAGAAGAGAAGTTGTTTCAAATGAAAACTACAGTCAGAGGGAGGGGAAGTGGGATGAATCTTGCAAGGACTACAGGCAGGATTGAGGGTAGAACACGCAACATGCAGACTCACCTCTCTCAGAATAAGCTTAGATCATGCTGCCTTGAGCCATGCTAGCATAACAGGCAGAGCACGTAACACACCAGCTCACCTCGCTCAAAGTACGATGGGTCCATATAGCCCATCGACCTAGCTTTGATCTGACTAAGCAGTCGTCTCACCACACATGGGACAGCCAACACAGCAACTCACCTCTCTCAAAGTACGATGGGTCCATATAGCCCCACGACCCAGCCACTCGCGTCGTGACATGTGTCTTGTCCTGGCATGCCTTGGCCAATCCGAAATCCGCCACCTTGGGAATGAGCGTCTGGAAACACGCAGAGACGAAGAAACAAATAGCGGATGGGAGAAATGAGTCCACAGGGAGATGTGTGTGTGTGCGTGTTTTCTTTTTTTTTGTGAATCACATTGGCACCCTTACCTGACCAATTCAAGAGCAATGACGGTCTCACTCACACGGACCAGGTTCACACAGTGCGGTATGCATTGAAGGCACGGCACTTTGATGCGACCCACCTTGGTTAAAAGCACATTTGCGCTCTTGAAGTCGCGATGAATAAACCCCGCCTGGTGAATTGCTGCCAGCCCTTCAAGACTCCCCTCTGCTACAGCCAGTCGCTCCTTCCAAGGGAAGGGCTTTTCACCGTTCCTCGCTGCTTGGACAGACAGGGAGGGTGTGGAGGGTGAGCGAGGAAATCGTTAAGGCGACTCAAAATCATGTCGCATGGAATGAATAATTCTCTGTGAGCTTAGGCTGCTAGCCCCTCACGACTCCCCTCTGCTGCTACCGCAGCCGGTCCTTCCGAGGAAAGGGCTCTTCGCCGTTCATTGCTGCTTGGACAGACAGGGAGGGTGGAGGGTGAGCGAGGAAATCGTTGAGGCGCCTAGAGGTCACGTCGCAATGAAGGAGCTCAAATTCTCTGTAGGTTGAGGCTTTGAACCTTTCCTTAGCTGAAACTGGTTTGGCGATGGAGCACTACTTGACAAAGCGGATCAAGGCGAACCCCACGCGGCCTGACCAAGAACCTTCTTGAAAAAGCGCACCAAGTTTCAGCTATTTTTTTCCCCAGCGCCTGAGAAAAGCTCGTGCGGCCCGACCAAGAACCTCTCAGCAAAGTCAGCTGGTTCGGCTCTGTTTCAGCCAGCCTGACTTGATTCGCGACAGGCCAGCCCGGATGTGACCGCCTGTCCATGTCTACTGTTTTTTTTTTTTTTTTTTTTTTTTTTTTTTTGGCTCAGAAAGGGATGTGACCCATGCCGTGCTCATGTCTGCTGCGAAACATCTCCCGTTCCATCAGTCACATGAGTTATCGTTTGCTTTTGAGAATTCTCAGTCGCTTTTTGACAATTCTCTTTTGAAAAGCTTTTGAGAATTCTCACAAGAGAATTCTCAAAAGCAACTCATTCCTACTGCGAAACATCTCCCGTTCCACCACTCACATGTGTTATAGTTTGGCCCGTCATGTGTGCACATGCTCACCCCATTCCACCACATTACAGCCCCTCATACCTTTCTCTAACCGCTGCGAAACATCCCCACCCGGGACGAACTCAGAGACCATTGAAATGGTTTGCCCCCACATGGCCATTCCGAGCAGCCGCAGCACGTTGGGATGGCGGAGAGCCGTCATCACCATGATCTCCGTCTGAGGGGGGGAAGGGACGGGGGGGACACGCATAGGGGGAACACGCATAGGGGGGACACGCATAGGGGGGACACGCATAAGGGGGACACGCAAAGGGGGGACACACGTCTGGGGGTTCTGATCAGCATCAGACACTGGTGGTATGATGAGATGAGAGGCGGACAGTCACTCACCATCAAGTGACTTTTGAGTCGACACAATAGCCAGTCTTGAGACGTCTAAAGACCCTGGTGGTTTGATGAGATGAGAGCCGGACAGTCACTCACCATGAGCTGCTGGGCGTTTTCCTGATTTCTAAAAGTTACTTCAAAACACATGTGGGAGGGACACGCGGGGGTTCTGAAGAGCATTAAGCCATGCAACGGTGATGAGATGAGAGGCGGGCAGTCACTCACCATCAGCTGCTCCCTTCCCCCAGAGATGACTTTTGAGTCGATCTGAACTAGAGTTACTCTAAAGCACACGTGGGAGGGACATGCGGGGGTTCTGAGGAGCATTAAGCCCTGGAACTGTGATGAGATGAGAGGCGGGCAGTGACTCACCATCAGCTGCTCCCTTCCCCCAGAGTCTTGATCCTCCTCAATATGACACGTCTTCACCGCCACCGGAAGAAACCGCTTTCCATCCACCTCCACCACTTCCGACTCATCCAATCCCTCCTCAACCCCCTCCTCCCCTTCCTCCTCATCCTCCTCATCCTCCCCGTCCTCTTCATCCCCTCCCCCGTCCCCTTCTCTCCCCCCAAGAAGCAGCATGCCCTTGTAGACGGCGCCGAAGCCGCCTTCCCCCAGCTTGGTGCGCCAGTCGCCCGTCGCCCGCCGCAGCTCCTCCTGCGAGTACCGCGGCAGCGCGCCGTCCGCCCCCACCGCCCTCATTACCACCGGCTTCAGGACATTGCTTTCTGAGGAAGAGGAAGGGGGAAGGGGGAGGGGAGGGAGGGGGGGGGGGGGGAGGAGGGGGGCGGGAAGGGAGGCCAAGGAGAATGAGATGGTTTCACCGCCCCCACCGTGCGCATCCTCACCGGCTTCAGCGTACCATCCTCCGGGGGCAGGGATCAAGGGAAACAGGAATGGAGGAGGAAGGGTACTGTGTGACAATTGATTACTGGTTATATTTTTCTATAAAAACTGGAAATGGCCCTGCGAATACGCGTGCGTGCGTGCGATCGTGTGAGTCCTTCCTTAAGTTCAGCGGATCAGTACTGCTACGGGCAAAACGAGCCGCGCACAGATCCACGAGATAACCGGGACACAGTGAACCCAACCGCATTGAACCCACCAGCAACCCGTTAGACGCTGAGCATACCGCGTCAAGCCGTTACTTGTGACTCACTCGTGTCTTTGCTTTCACGTGTAGACGGCCCTCCCCCGAAGCAGCAGAAGACCATACTCAAGGCTTGGTGTGATTAAGAGAAAGTCAGGATTTTTTTAAGCTCTAGCTCGGAAAAGGACGATCACGGTGGCAGGTGGTGTTGATACGGTATGCTACAAGTATGTCAATATAACTCGTGTGGGTGTTTCTCTCTCGTTTGGTGGCGTGTTTTGTTCGAGTTAAAAAAGGCACGGCGTCTTCAACCCGCAATATTTGCTAACTACGAGACGATCGAACCGTTCTGAATATAATTTGCACGATGGCAACCGACAAACTAAGTAACAGAAGTACGAGATGATAAGTACTCCAGGTGCTCCTACTCTTGCTAGAGATGAGATACGTGCTCTTCTCTTCTTTGACAAGAAACTAGCGCTGTTGTGGTGTAGCACCCAGACAACAGCCACTCGGACCTTGGGAAGTTGGAACATATACATGTACAGCGTACATGAAGAAGAAATGCAATTGGCGGACGTTTTGTAACGAAGTCGGTGATTGGAGAACGACACGCCACGACGGGAGGCGTGAAAACTTCAATCGGGCAGATCGAGGGCACCGTCGCGAAGTTTTTGAAATCGTCAAGGTCGAGGTACACTACCTCCAATGAAAGCACTGCGCTGCGCGGCGACACACAGTACAACAGTACAAGGGAAGTTGAAAGGGACCAAACAAAGGGTTTGTGTGTGCCCTTTGCCGGGCAGTGAGGAGCCCTGCCGGGAAGTTCAGGTCGAGCTGAAAATCGACAACCAAGCAATGCAAAACCTGCCCGCGCGGTCACCAAACGGTCTGTATGCTGGCGAATCATCATCACCTGCAGAGTTTCCCGCCTTCAAGAAAATGCGCCCTTGAAAGTTGAGAAGGACCAAACAAAGGGTGTGTTTTTTTTCCCTTTGCCGGGCAGTGAGGAATTGGGAAGCGTACACACCTGAGGAACTGCCACGTTTACTTCGATGACACGAAACATGTGTCAGTCAGAGGTTACTTGCCTCCCTCCTGGTGCCCAGACCAGACCAGACCAGACCCCACCTAGCGACGAACCTCTCACAAGAGAGCAGTTGAGTACGATATTGTGCACTCTGGAGCTATGGTTTACCACTCTGAACCGCTCGCTACTCACCAGGCTGAACACTCCTACACGAATTGCAAAACAAATGAACGTGCGCTGAAGTGGTTGGAATTGCTCACTTCGATGCAAACTTCGAATAGAATTGCATTGTAAATGATTTTTTATTACACTCCTATGCAATCGAATCGGGTGGGGAAACTTTGCGGAGAGTCACTACACAACGGGAGTGGACTACGAAGGAAGGCACGGAGTTGTGCGAGTGATCGTAGCGTTGCAGTAGCGTTCTCACTACTTGCTGTGTTCATAGAGGAAATTGGCAAGAGTTTCACTAGAAAATGAGAAGAAGTATAGATTACAATGAGGCATGCAAGTCGATATAGCTAGAATGGCATCGCAACACCTAGCAAGCCCTCTACAGGGCGAACTCTGCCAGCGCAGCAGAAGAGCGGCTTGCCAACGCTGCAGCCAAGTAGTCTGCCAGCGTTGCACCGCAGCGGTCTGCCAGCGTTGCAAAGGCATGTGAACTTCTACGCATGTGCCCATCTACCAAGTAGGTGCATGTAGACGGTCGCGCCGCCAGGCACATTGCGTAGGTGCCAGGCAGAACACGTGTCGACGGTTTCTCCAACCGTGCACCGTCGAGCACGTGATGCCGTTCCGCATGTTGACTTCGCGAAAACCTCCTGGGCGACATTCCGCAGTCGAGCGACTTGCGTCGACCAGCTCGACGATGCTTCGACGAACAACGTTCGCCAAGACGAGCTCGTCGAGCAGAGCCCGTCGACCAATGCTCCTCTACGGGCTCGTCGGCCAACACCTCTACACGGGCTGGTCGAGAAGCACCTCTGCGGGCTCGTCGACCGCGTCCTCTGCGGACTCGTCGACCGCGTCCTCTGCGGACTCGTCGAATTGGTGACGCGCACTCGACGTCGAACTTTGCGGGCAGTCGACTTCACCTTCCGCGCACTCGACTGCGAGGTCAGCTTCACCCAGGCGAGGGCGGGGCCATTTCCCGCTAACAAACTTTGACATGTGAGCTCCTGACAATGGTACCTGACCTGCATTTCAACGGATACTAGACTTGCCGTCAAACATCCAACGGAATTAAGGGGGTGTCTCAAATGCCTCGGTCCATACTGATTCTACGCGGTCGACGTGGACCCGTCCACCAAACCAGCATGGACCCGTGCGTGGACCCGCGAAGTACCCTGCAATGGACAGCTGGTTTCCCAAACCCGCTTGCGTGAGAAAGAGAACACAGTGGGGTGAATTGTCTGGTTTGGCGAACTGGTCCACGTCAGACTCTTAAATAGTTGTGCTCTTTGCGAATTCTTGCGAATCTTCTTCGCACGTGTCACAAAACTTGGCATGGCGCGCTGGTGGGTTGCCCAATGACAGGCGTAACTGGTGGGGACAAAAACACTGGCGACTCGAGTCCTGGTAACTCTGTGTTGAAATAAATGTATAGTGGCGCTCGCGTGCATGCACTGTACAGTACATCAACGGACCCACCAACCTGTGAAGATAAGCAGTAGAAGAAGGCGCCATAGCTAGGAAAGCCCTAGCTAGGCAAGAAACAGTTTAGGCAAAGAAGGAGGAGTTGCACTAGCAAGAATGAGGATACAAATAGCAAACCCTAGAAGGGTTGTACTCGCTATAGAGCACCCCACTACAGGCTAGAGCATAATATTCTGACACACCCCCATAGCCAAAGTGGGGTGTAATCAGCAGAGCAAGCAAAGCAGAACAAGCTCAGGGTGGATCACAATGTCACCACACATTCTGAGCACAAGTTCAGGAAGCAATAGTTTAAAGTTCACAATTATGAGCAAAGCTAGTGGTAGTCACAACGGGCAAGTGAGGAGGAGGAGGGACAGTGAGAGGAGAGGAGATAGGAGGCGACGGCTGAAGCTGCAGACACACGGGCAACAGGAGGCACACTGGCACAGCGGCTACCGGAACAGCGCTCCGGACTACTGGAGTAACTGGCCCCGCGGCTAAAAGTAGCGGCAGACGAGCAACGGACCCACGGGCGACTGGCACAGGTGGCTACGACTGGGCTACCGGAGCAACTCCCCGGAATACAGGTGCTGCTGGCGACACGACGGCAACCTCCGTTCAACCTCCCCCAAACAGTACCACCCCCCCTGACACACACCCCCTGCTTCACCCCTAGCTCCACTCCCCCTTCACCCTCCCTTAGTACCACTCCGACGGCTCCAACAGGTCCACCCCCCCTCAGCGGCAGCTGCAGCACAGGGAGACGGAGGAGGAGGAGGAGCAGGGAACGGCACACAGAAGCTGCACCCCCATACCCCCCACCCCCAAACCCTAATCCAGGAGAACGGGCAGAAGGAGGGGTGGGGCGCCTTCAGAAGCACGGGGGACAGCGGGGAGGACAGGGGCAGCGAAGAACGGGCCGCCCACGGGCCTGGCACAGCCTCCCGAACCGCGCGCAGGCGGCCCGAGCCGCGCGCGGGCCTGGCGCAGCCCGTACGGGCCGCGCGCGGGCCTGGCGCAGCCCGTACGGGCCGCGCGCCGGCTGTACGGGCCGCGCGCAGGCCACGACGGGCGACGGGGGGCGACGCGCGGGTCCCCGTCGCCCGTCGTAGCGCCTCCTGGGGCCGACGCGCCGAGTGACGGGGCAGAAACCCGTCGCGCGCCTCGGGGCGCACGGCGGGCAGAAAACCGCCGCGCGCCTCGGGGCGCACGGCGGGCTGAAAAACCCTAATTTCGACGCCGCGCACCACGGGGCGCGCGGCGGACAGGGAGTAGCAGTAGCAGCGGAAGCAGTGAGGTGGGGCCCACAGGCCAGGAGCATATCGCTCTAATACCATGTGAAGATAAGCAGTAGAAGAAGGCGCCATAGCTAGGAAAGCCCTAGCTAGGCAAGAAACAATTTAGGCAAAGAAGGAGGAGTTGCACTAGCAAGAATGAGGATACAAATAGCAAACCCTAGAAGGGTTGTACTCGCTATAGAGCACCCCACTACAGGCTAGAGCATAATATTCTGACACAACCCATTGTCCGCTGCTGGTTCGCAAGATTGATCCACCCTGGCCGGTGGACGAGTCCAGGTCTTATTGGGGCAACAATACCAAGGGTGGACGAGGTGGGCGTGGACTCGCAAACCAGTCGAACTGAGACACGTCCTAACATTTTGTTGAGAATTAAGATAAGGACAAAATAGTATGATTGCACACTAGGATAGGACAAGGGTGCAAGATTTGAACCATAAAAGAGAAGATTATACTAAAAGCTTGTGACTATAAAGAGAAACTTGTGTAAGATGGAATGCTTGATTAGATAAGAACTCAAAAGAGAACAAGAAAATGAAAGCTTGTTGAGAGAATAAGAAAGGCGTAAATACTTACTTGTGTGGGTCTTACTAGAGATAGTTGTTAGAAGAGCTTCAACTTGAAGGCTTTATTTAAAAGGAACTTCAAACCTTGGATTGAGTGATGGTCCTTCCTTGAGCTTGTAAATTGTAGCTTCCTTATACTCTAGTAGAGTATGAGGTAAGCCACTCTTCACTTGATAGTTACTTTGTAGACTAGATGAGAGATTTTTGTGAGCATAAACTTATAGTAAATAGATGTATAGTACAAGCCTTATAGATCTATGAGGAATACATAGGCATGCATGGAAGAGGTAGCCGTTAATAGTAGCCTTGGAAGAGAGTTGCATGAAACTATTACCGTATCTTTGGAGACATTGCCTCTTCCATGAAAGGTTGCTAGGAAGGAGCCTTTGTAGTAGAAGGGACTTGATGAGCTTGAAGAAGAAGCTTGGAGATGAGCTTGATGAAGAAGCTTGAGGTGCATTGTTGTCATTGAAGAAGCTTCTTGAGAAGTTGTAAAAAGTCTTGATGGAGTTGAATAGTAGTGGAGTACGTGATGGTGGTTGAGCACTTTGTGAGTTGGAGCTGCAGGCCTTGTAGTGTTGGATGAGAG